CAAGCTCTAGTGAAGCCCCCACACCAACTTCATCATCCTCCATCACGACATCCTCCACTACGAGTTCATCCACAACCGATCCATCTGCCGCGTGTGCGCACGCATTCCAAGACCCGAGCACCAGTCCACAAGCCGATCTGAGCGCCTCACATTCCCCCCAGTAGCCTGGAGAGAAGCATCCAAAGTTGGTCGAAGGCTTCGGGATTCAGAATCTGAAGGATTTAAAGGTTGGCGGTTCCAGAACTCAGTAAGTGCAGCGTTGGTGTGTCGAATTAAAAAAAGACTCTCGTGAACCTGCTCACCAGGCTCCTATCCGCGGGTTTCCGAAATGAGTGGGACCTTCTTTGGGGGTATAAGGCGATCCGATGATTTTGGAGTCTATACTAGGGGTCCCTCGTTGTCGTAAACCCCCCATCTGGATCGTTTCTTCGTTTGGGATCTGAGGAGCCCAAGGCTGTTTTGCCTAGCACCGATCAATCCGTCCTTAAACCAAGAACTTTCTCTCACTCTTGAAGGGTGAATCTGTTCCAAGCTCTCGAAGCGCATGCATCAAGACTCTCTGGGCCCGATTATATACAACTCTGATTTGCAATCTGCCAAATGCCGATTTCGGATCCGTCTGTGGGGCTTGGTTGGGCTCGAAAAAGTATTGTAATGAGCGAAAAGAGCTGATATCTCGCTGAACCCTCAGAGTGCCCACCTCACATGTCTGGGCGAAGGGATTCCAGGTGCAGCCTTCGGAGACCGGGCCTTGGCTCAAATGTCAGAGGCATCGTGCCAGGAGCCCTTTAGAGTCCTTAGCTTCTCTTGGTGCCAGGCAATCAGCAGGGTCCTTGTAGTACCCGCACACCTGGGCCCCGAACTTAGGGCGTTGCAAGGGTCTTGGGTTTTTTGGAGATCAACAAAGAGCGCCCAACATCTCAACCCTACTTGCGGGGCCCCATTGCAGCACAAACCAGTCTACATCTTCCATCATTGTGCGAAGCGACCACAAGGCACTGCTGGGATACCGGGAGCCACTGACAGCGGCCGTTCGGACCTCGCGGCCAAGTGCTTCCCGTTTGCCGAGAACACCCTCTGAACATTTGTGAACCCGATCGAATTTGGGGGTTTCTAGGGCCACTAAGGTCCCTAATTATACACTCAAACAAGCCCCCCCCCTCTCGCCCCTCCACCCCTCCCCCGCCCCGAAAGAGGCTGGCCCTTGCAACACCCCTCTAAGCACCAGGCAGAGTTCCTGAGTCGAGTACAGAGCGCAAGCCTGTGCAAGAGCCCTATCATTTAGGGACGTTGAGGTTCACAGATGAGTTCTAAAGGTTTTAAAGTTTAGGTTTGCCAATCATGGACTCGCGGATACAGCATGGGACACAGTCTGAGTCCAATTTGGCTTCATGGCCGTTCATTGTAAGGGCATCCTGAAGTCTCCAAGCCCACCTGGCAATCGAAGACAATGGACTTCACCCACAGAATCGAGAATTCTTCGTAGATCTTCACTTCATCGCCGTCAGCATAATTGATGGTAACAAACACCTTCCACGCTGCACCGAGAGGTCGACGTCTTCACAACGTAAACTGCGAACGGCACGTGCTCTCAATAAAAACCAGACTCTGGGCCTTGCAAACCAGAACCTCCGACCTGAAACCTCCAAGTCGGTTAGGGTTTCGGCCCATGGCCTCCAGGAGGGGGCCAAGCACTGCTATGACAGCATCGTTCTTGTAAACAGTCACTCGATCTGACCAGGGCTCCGACGAGTCAAACGCATTGAATCTTAAACCGCGCGAACCTCTAGATTCTCTAGATCACACACGCAGAGACAAGATACTGCCGTTGTCGATTCGATCAAAATCATTTCCTTGGTGCCCCAAGCTCATGGACATGTTTAAACAGGAGCGCCTTAGAGCCAAGCATGATATGTAGAGCAATCATTCGCAAATATGAAGGGTCCCAAAGAGCAAGCAGAGTAGCTGACCAGCAAGACCATGGTGCCGGTGCCCTGCAGCTGCGTCTTGATGAAGAACGGAGCTCGGTTATTGTTCCACGCTCTGTAGCCACCTTCTCCTGGGCAGGAGAATGCGCAGCTCGGGCGTAGGGTTCTCGACTCTCACACATACGTCACATATGCATCTCGTCGTTGACCAGGGATGAAACTCAGGTCCACATTGAGTTCAGAACCAAACCCCAGGGTTCACATCTTAGCTCATGGTCGCAGTACCTATGGGGAGCTGCGATAACCACAGAAGCAAAGCCAGAACATGGCAGAAGGGACCCCCCTCTGAACATTGCCGGAACAGACCTGGACCTTGGCTGTAAAGAGTTTAGCAGGCTTCGCGACTGCGCCGTCCTTTGCCACTTCAGGCAACGTCGCTCGCGATGGATACACCCTGAAAGCTCTGGGACTGTGCTTACAGTCCAAGTTTCGGGCGCAGAAAGCTGAGTCGCATTAGGTGATAAGTCTGAAGGTTTTAAACTTCAGCAGTGAACTCTTGGACTTGGTGCCAAGTCTCCCAGATAGTCAAAGTACTCCCAACTGGGCCCTGTGTCGAATTGCCTGGCATTGACGATCGATGCTGACTTCAAGGTGGCGTTGGCAAGCTGAGCTTGCCCGAACCCTATCAACTTGCCGTAACATGCCGTAACCTCTCAAGCTCGCGCAGCCCTAACCCTAACCCTAACACGTCCTTGAACAACACGCGCGAAAACAATTCTGTTTGCAATCCGAGTGCCAACCAGCAGCCTCCATTTGTGCTCTGGACTGGAGCTTTGCTAATGGTTCGTTGGGGTTTCCACCTGAGATTTAGGGTTTTGTGGGCCCGGCAACACTGCGGGGCTTAGGAAGGGCTTAGGGTCATATATCTGCCAAGTTTCCCCCGCAGTCCGCCTCAAGGGCACTTTCGACTCTAGGGACCCAGACCTAGGTTAGAGCTATATAGTCTAGGAGGGACTATAATAATGTGACTATAGTGTGCCTATAGTGTTTAGAGGGGTGTTGGGGCTGAAGGTGGGAGACTGACATTTGACGGCGGCCACCCACTGAAGCCTTGCCACCGCATCCCCGGAAGCAACCCGGTAGTACCCGCTCGAAGTCCTGCAACATCCTGGAGTCTGTTTAACCCCACGCTCCTTGTCGCTGCAGGAAAAGCCGTTCCACACGCAGCGGGTCGTGGGGCAGTCCGCCTCTGTTTGCAGCTGCCCACAAGGAATCTTTTCGTAGATCCTTGGCACCGACAACGTGAGCAGTAGACACGCGCTGCTATTGGCACCTCATGCGCATGCTGGGGTCACTTCCTTTAAGGTTTGCCAGCACGAATTCTTTGGCTGCTCTCTTTGGCTCACCTCTGCAGCTTATCACAGCTTTGCCTAGAATGTGTCTTGTGCATCCTCTCACGCGATGCGCTATGTGCTGGTGCGCTCCTCTCATGAAAGAGGGACGTGTGGATGTGCCCTCCCGTGGCTTCTTATAGAGGTGAAGGTCCATTTCTTCTCTGTCTCGTAAAATGATATTTGAAGCGTTTGGAGGAGAGCGCGTCTGCCACCTGGCTCGGGAACTACCTGCGGACTGGTGTTTCACAACTTTAGATGCATGGCGCACCATGGCCCCCTAAGACTCCAAAAAGGAAAGATGCTGGCTTTGAGTTAACTTTGGATGCCAAGCGGATTTAACCTGAACTTCAGCCTGGCATCCAACCTGTGTATGGGAACACCTCGTTGCCGTAGTCTTCTGGGCAAGCCCAGCAGCTAAGATTTTGGTAGTCGTAGTTGAAGAAGAAGCAGTCAATGTCTACATCGCACAGCTGTCGGCATGCGTCCGATTCATCGACGGGTGCGATGATCCTCCGGGTTTCGCAGCGGCAGTCAGTACACACCTCAGTGTAGCCGGGGGTCGGCTGCACTTGTGGCGTTGCCAGGCACACCCTTGAAGTGTTCGAGTTGAAGACAGGACTGGAGTGATTCCTCAGGTGTGCTTGACAATGTGGGCCCTGCAACTTAATGAAAAACCTCGCAGTTGAACGTTTGTCGAGTTTGTCGTTTTCGACTCCAGAGGGTCCAGAGGCAAAAAAAGTCTTGTCTTAAGAGTGGACATCGGAGGCTCATGGTGTTGAAGTAGCAAGTTCGATCCACCACGATGCATCCGTTCGGCTGCAGTGCAAAACTGGCAGTTCCTGAAAAGTAGCTGCGTAGCTGTAGCTGGAGGCCTACTAGACCCTACTCATCTTCCCAACCAAAACCCTCTTGAAAGTCTGAACTATTCTTAACTCATCTTAAGGCTCCTCCAAAGCCATACCGCAAGCTGAGGGCACCGAGCTGACAGCTTTCTTCATCTGGCACAGGACGGTCCGGGGAGCAGTCTTCATCCGGAGATGTTTGCACATAGTTCCCAGAAAGCTTTCGACAACTGTTTCCCGCGATCCTTCACTGACCGTGATTTGTGCGAGCATAACCAAGTGACAAAGACACCATGCGAAGATTGGGTGCTACAACTAGCGTTTGTTGCGCTCGGTTTCTTCCAAGCTTCTGGCATCTTCCAACGGGGCACAAGATGGAAGGAAATGTCAGGCACTCCTGGTGACAGGCGACAGCACTTATGCATCTTACAAGCTTTTAGAACAAGTTTTAGAGAATTCTCGGGCCCTCCTTCTGGCAGCATTCACTCCGGGTCAAGGTGGTGGAGTTGACGTTTTCGGGATTCGGCTCGTAGTCGTCCGGACACACAAAGCCTGTCGAACATGTCTGCTGCTCGAATTTGTACCTTGGATGCGTGAAGTTGCTCCATGACGAGCCCTGAAACCCCTCAGCTGCAGTCCACCTTCCAGAAAACAAAGTCACGGACTGCCTGGGTACAGTGAGCAACCTGCTGTGTCGGGCTTGATAGCTCCCTCGCGGCAAATGCCACAGTTGTCACCTCAGCAAATGGCCGTTCATCCAGATCTCTGAGTCATCAAGCAGGGCAACTGAATCGATGCATATCTCCACCGCTGAAGGACATCTTGTATGGAGGCTTGAGAAAAAAGGCAAAACATGTACCACTGAGACTTATGTTGCTATAATCGCAGACGTACAAGTTGACTGGAGGTTGTTGCCCTTGAGTGGTGTGCTGGCAGCCAGCGATGTCATACACGCGGCCCTGCATGTGACTTGGAACGTCTGGATCGCAAGACTTGCCTCGGAGCAACGTTCGAAGCAGCTTCATGCTCTGTGCAGTCTGTGCATTGTTAAATATTGTAAAGATGGGAGCAAAAGCAAAAAATGAGCACTTTTTTAAAATGAGGCCTTGCTGCCCTTCTGCTGTAAGAGTACCTCAGCGTAGACGCAGACACCGCTGGCAGCGCTCAGAACCTGCCATTGGCATCGCAAAGGGCAGCTCTCCTGACAGTGCCACAGTGCCAGGACCCCCCATTGACATTTGCTTCATTTGGCTCTTTTCCTTGAATTCCGTTGATACCTGTTATTCCTTTATTCTTTCTTACAGGACGTGCCACCGACGTAACGCAAACTATTATCGAGGGTCAGACATTATTGTACAAATTATACACAGACGTTACCACGGCTGCTTCTGTGGGCGGCGTGAAAAACAACTAGGTCTAGAAAAAACACTGCCCGCTGTGTGGCGCAACATGCAGTCTCAGGCCCGCTCACATACGAAGCTTGTGTCGCCTTCCCTACACGCTATGGATGACACTGCGGGTCGTGGTTTGAGCCAGTGAGGGCCGCTAGAGATGAAAGTAGTCAAAGTAGTCCTGAGCATCCTTGTGCCAGGACTGTTGACAAAAAGGGTTGGTGGTCTGCTGACCCATCCTAAGCAATCTCGATTCGGCCCAAGTGTTGGAGTAGGGGCAGCTCAAACATAGGCGCGAGGCCACACAGCAAGCTGTTCCTGAAACAAAGCTGCCAAGCCGCAAAGGAAATCCAACAAGCGAGGAACTGCAGTGGCAGTTGAGAGTTGAGGGTTTGGGGTTTGACTAGGACTGTCGTTCTTGGAACCCCAGCAATTGATAACTGTTGAGCTGCTTCTTGGGATTTCTCGTTTAGAACCTCTGACGAGGGTGGAAGGTTCCCCGTGGTTCCCCCTGCCGCCCCACCTTTGTGGTGTAGTCGGCGCAAGGCTTGGCAGTTGATCCGCCACCACAAGCACAGCAAGCACCTTCCGGTGTCCGTGTTCTTTTGCGAAACGCCCCATGGATCTCAGAAAACCCCGCGGCTACTCGGCATCTTGTCCTTCGAAGCGGTGAAATTATTCTGTGGCGCTTGCCACACAAGTGAAGTCCTCCCTTCAACCAAAGCGACAGGACGTCCAGGAAGGGGCTCTGTTAAGACATGTCCGAGCTGCCCGCAGCTGAAAGCCCGTTCCAGGCAAATGTGCGGAAGGTGTCGTAGGAACCTTGGCAAATGAGGGCTCCGGGATTCAGGACTCTTTTGGTTTCAAGATAAATTTAATGCTTTGGATTGGAGTGTTCGTAGAGTTCAGGTGTAGCTGGAACTGGACTGTGCCTCTACAGCCCTCCAACAAGACCGTCCCCACGCCTAGTCCGAAGCGCAGGAAGACGGCCTATAATTGCCCTGAACTGTCGCCGCCACCTGCATACCTGGAAACGGTCCCGGGCCCAGCCTGTCCCGTAGCGGCCGTACGGGGTGCAGTAAGCTTTGACTTCCTGAGATTCCCAGTTCACGGCTGAGGGTCTCGGGCGGTCTCAGGGATTCCAAAGCTTCAGGGGAGTCAGGTTCAGAAGTCTACTGGTTGATTCTTTCGGAGGGCTCAGGGTATCGTTCGTTTTTTAAAGTACGTTTAGGAGGCTTCGGGCTTAGGGGTTCTACCAGTTCTACCAGAGCTGGATATACAGAATCGTACCTTGCACTGTCCACGCTATTCGGGATGAGCCTTGAGTCCGCCTGGAACCGGCTTGGCTACAGGGTTGCTTGGGTTGCCCCAACCGGGAAGTTTCAGTTCAGCAGAGAGTGGTTGTGGTTGTTTTTTGCGACGGGCAGCATCAGGGTTCCCCAGGCCACCGTTGACATGTCCTTTTGGGCTTGGAAGGATTCTCGGGTGTTGCGCAAGACGTGCCACTTCAATGGGGACGTGTTCTGACAGTCAGCCAAAGGCCCAAGGTCTGCCTTAACGCAAAGGCTCGTAGTCTCTGCAAGTCGCTCCCGACGTGTCTTGCCAAAAGTTGTCGAAACATGGCTGGTCGCCCTGGACGGGCTTGATGCCTCCCGTAGGTGTGAACAGCTGATAAAGTGCCACTAAAGAAATTTCAAGATCGCGATTGGTGAAGAATGTCTGTCGATCTCGTTTGAAAGCGTCTGTCGGTACTTGACGGTTGTTGCTGGCCTAACGCCAAATGCTGTTTGTTTTTCGGCTGCGTTCCAACAAGCAACAAGAGGCCTTAAAGGGGAGGCCTACCTACTCGATTTTCATGCCTGTTAAGGCCCAGGGTCGGTTTTTGAATTACCTGAGACATTGGAGAGAAAGGTTGTAAACGACAACTCCCACAAGCGCCAAGGAGCTAGCTTTCGTGACTGAGTGGTTGTGGATGTTCAGGGGGTTGAACCGTGCGGTCATCAAAACAATCCGAAACGCGCAGTACAGCAGTTCCAAAAGCGGCACGCTGCCGGCCTCAAGAACAGAACTCATCAAGCATAGTCCCTGAGGCCAAGGTGCATGCGACAGAACTGAGGTCGCTGATGGCTGTACCCACCGAAGTGTAGAGGACCTGACATGAGGACATTTCAGAGATAACTTGCTGTCCAAACGTGTGGTGGCATATCTTGGCATATTGGGTGCCGCTCACCGAGGGCTTTGAGGGCTTTTTGAGGGCTTTGCGCCTTCTCAACTTTAACTTTCGGTTCCCAATATGTATCAATATGTGGCAAACACTGGTAAAAAGGCTGCTGGATAGTCCAGGGGCACACGTGCTCAATTCAACCCAGGCAAAGGCGTAGCACGTCGCACTCCCAGAGCAGGCTGCCAGGCAAGAGGAAATATCGGACTCGGACACCTCGGCAAAGAGTCCAGAGACCAGCTCAAAGAGCTCAAACTCCCACTTGAAACTATTACCCCAGGTAGCCTTAAGCTCCCAAGAAGCTCCCAAAACTCCCTTGCTACTTCGGGGAAGTCACGACCTCACCACCGAGCCAGAAGCCGGTGTGATGGTAGGCAGAGCCCGCAGGACACGCTGGAACACCTTTCCCAAGGGTTCTTTCAGCCCTGGAGTCTTGGAGCTACAATAGCGACTCTCACAACTATTATATTACTGATCTTACTGGTTTTTAGTAGGGAATGAGGGAAACCTTAAAGGGCTGTAGATGGTACCTCTTTCCCCCACTCCCTTCTAAGAACCATATGGGCAGTGGAGAACCAGTAGGTTGTGGGCGCTCCAAGTGCCGTTTGAACCCTGCCTGTGGCTTGCGGCCTCCGGGCGTAGCAGGTGTAGATCGTAGGTGGGGATGCGAAAAGCGAAACCTCTCCCAGGCCCGTGTACATAACGCATCTTGCCTTCTTTTGCGTCTGGCAGCCATCATAGTCCAGCTCGGGTGTCTTTGACCAAGCGTAGCCAACGCAGTTCAGGGCAGTGCATTGATTCTTGCATTTAGTCTTGCCGACGCACGAGACGCTATACTGCCACGGATTCTCCCCATAGATGTCTCGGCAATATCCTGGCCCTGTCTCGACCCACTCGTAGGTCAACGCGCCTGCGCGAGGTGCGCACAGCATGCCAACGCACGAAAGCGGTTCGGCTCTGACTATGCAGATGCGGTTGCAGGATTGTCGCGTGCTGAACATGCCGCAACAAACACAAACCTTATATGTCCGAAATTCCTCGAACCCAGATACTGCACCACTCAATCCGACACCGGTAGTCTCCTGACCGGAACCTGCCGCTTTGGGCACGCTCCCTCTTGAAGGAGAGCAAGGAAGCGTCCTGCTGAGTCTGAAGACCCATGCCTTTAGCTTTTCGAGTATATTTAACCAAATGAGGACGTAGCTGGACCCTCTGATTGCGCAACTTCCTGTGGCTGTCTAGCTGGGCCTTATGATGGCAGACTACGAAAAGAGCATGCTCTCCTAACCCCAAAGCTGCCGATCCGAACCGATTGCACGTGGAGTGATTTTTAAGTCCGGGAAAGGCTATCGGAACAGAAAATCGTATCCAACCTCAGCAACTCTAGGAAGAAGCCCTGAGGATGTTTGGGCACTCGTCTTTGTATGGAGCTTGTTGCTCAGATCATTCTCTTTGCCTAAGCCTGAAAACCTTCCCTACTGGTTATTAGTACGGAATGCGAGGGAATTAGGTACCATATGTACCCTTAGTTGGTTGTATGGTGCCTCATCCCCCATGCCCTACTAAGAACCAGCAGGTTTCACATTGAGATCCTCCTCCTCTGCAATGGCCCGAAGCCATAGCCACGACCACAGCAGCAGCCGGCGTACCGCCGCCATGTGAAAGAATTGGTCTTAGCCAGGCGTTTGGCCAGGATAACTGACAGTGTCTTGATGGCTAACATCACGCTGCTGCTACCCGCCCTTTCTCTAAGACAAACACGGAAAGCGAACAAATTCGGTTCCCACTCTTGCGGCGCAGCCCAATTTAAGCTCTGCATCGTGTGCTTTGCGTTTGCAGGCTTCGCTGTCCCCAGATGAACCTGCAGACCGTCGAGAACACTGCTGATCTCTGAGTCATCGGATTTTTCTCGAGCCCTCGCACGTGTTTAAATTGGAACGGAGCTCAAGAACGAGGCCTGGTTTCAACTTCCGGCTGTCCTTTGGCCGGAGCAACATGGACTCATATGAATTACCCGCCACTCAGTTGACAAGTACTGGCACGGACCTGGACCCAGAAACGATTTCACTGCTGTTCAAATGCAAGGACCCTGAGTCCCAAAAGCGAGTTTTCTATAAACACCGCCATAAACACCCTGACCTTAAGCCTTAAGCCCGACGCCCTATCAGATTATCACCGACAAATCGCCACCCTCAGCTGGGTGCCCCGCGAGATCTCCAGGGTCGATGTCGCATTTCCAAACGGGAACGGGGCCTGGAGGAACCCTAAACCCTAAACCCTATAAACCCTATAAACCCTATAAACCCTAAACCATGGGTTCCATGTCCGGAGTTCAAGAAGGGCGTCAGGATTAGAGCAGGATATGCTCGCTTTTTTCCGCTGCCGACCATCGAGTCCCTGTCGAAGGATTTCGTCGAGTCTCTGGAGGCAATGGGAACCCTCTTGAGAAAACCTAAACCTGAGCCAGCAAAGCCACACTCCAAAAGCCCAAAACCCTTAACACCCTAAGCACTCAAACCAAAAAACTCCTAAATCCTAACAGCCCAAAAACCCAGCTTAGGGTGCTCGTGAGTATAGAAACCTGGAGAATGGAGCCTCGGCACACCTCCGTGCAGGATTCCTGAACACGATTCAACACTGTCGGTACTTTATTTCCTTTCTTTTTGGGGCTCGCAAACCGGGAGTTGAGAAAACGTACTCGGGGGGAACAAGGGGGAAAGGTGTTTTGTCCGACGGGCCCGGACACTTGGTTGACTTGCTTGTTGCTGCTTTTGCCTTCCCCACACGTAGTGCTCAGGTCGCAAGATTTAAAGGTCTTGGGGGCTGCTGATAAGGTGCCTGCATGATGTAGACGCAGTCTGCGGCTGCGACCGAGAAAGTCATGATCTTAGCCCGGAGCAGCCCAGTTTCAGCTTTTGACATCTGTAAAAAAGGTTCAGGGTTCAGGCAGTTTGCAGGGCTTGGGATAGGGCTGGTGAGGGCTACTCCGGAATCAGGCTATGCAAGGCACCAGCGCAGTCGAATGTACTCTGCACTCACTGTGCATACTGCAATGTTAGAACGACTTGGAGATTCTCATGTCTCAAGGAACACTTTCTACTGCTGGTTTACTATTGGCGTAGGGTCGGGAACGCAGGATTGGAGCATACAATGAAGAAGAGTGTGGGCCCTTGACAGATGGAAGTTGTAAGGATCCATTGCTTGCAAGTTTGGGGTTGAGGGCTGCGGGCATTGGGTTGCTGTAGTAGCAGCCATGGTAATTATGAGGCTCATGACTTCGAACGATGGTAAGTGCCCATCGAAACCCACTGGTTGTTTAGGTTGGGGATTTGGACTCATTTGGACTCTATGGCTACCAAACCCATGTGCAGCTTCATGTCCCTTGAATGTTCTGAATAGCCTGGCAAGGTCCTAAGCCCAACAAGCCCGCACACCGCCCTAGACTCGAATCGCTGCTGCAACTCATACACCCTACAGACCCTACAGAGCAGCCATTTCCACCCAGGTAGCAGCGCGTGGGTCGGCGGAGCCGGCCAACCAGAACGAACCACACACGTTGCCGTTGTTGCCTACGCAGCCTCGGTGGCTTCAAGCTTACTTCTGTTGCAGGATGTTGCAGGCCATAATGATGGCAACGCAGCATAGCAAAGCAGGTCATAAACGGTTTGCGGCGGATGCAGGAAGTCTTGACGGAAGTCTTGTGTGGTCTTTGTCTATTTTCACGCAACGCAGAAGTAGGAGTGGTGTTGGAAGAAATGGCAGAAAGACACAGAACGTCACATCCCAGATTCTCAGCTCAGAGGTGCAATGCCCGTGCTGTCACGAGGGTCCAAACACCGCCTGAGAAATCTTTGGGGCGTGAAACATTGTGAATCCCTTACAGGTGTGGCCCCTGATCTCCTTACAACGCCACATGGACGTAGGGAGACGGCGACAGGCTCCACGTTTGCACGAAACTGGGGGCTTGGGCCTTCTTTTGAAACACTTCCAGACGTACCAATTCTGTGACGACAACATGCACATTCCAGAAGATAGGTTGAATGCTTACGGGAAGGAGTCGGTAGGCAGCTAGGCAACTCTTCGAAGGCAACAAAAAGGGGGGCCTAAATGGGGGGCCATGGCGCCATACACAAAAGTAAGGAATATTCGCAGAGCAAAAATCCGTTCAGAGCAGTCCTCAGTCCGCGGCCTCGACGTTGGCAGGATGTGTTCGACGAAAGGAAAGCTCCCAGTGTCACCTAAAAGTTGCAGAGGTTTCTGGGAAGTTCTGGGTTTCTGGGGCCTTCTAATTAACCCCCTCCCTTTCTAGCCAAGTCGTGGTTCGTGGGTATCTACAGAACGTTCCAAACGCCCAGCCTGGGCTTGCTCAGAGGCTCCTACTGGTGGGTTCCCAGGAGTTTCGGGGTCTCTTAGGGGTTTCTCAGGTCTAGAAAAATTATGAGATTTAGGGCGGGGACCATTTACAGTTGAACCTATACAGGGCGTGCAGTCACGGCAATGATTCCAAGCTTTGTCTTGCTACTTTGCTCTCTCGCATCTCGTACTATGCATTACTATGCTCACTGCGCTTTGGACTTTCAGTTGTACAGCTGCCGCTCGTACGGTTTCCGAGCACTCTGCCCTGCGTGGACATTGCTTCGGCTTGAGTCAACCAGGTTCAACAACGCAACACATGTTCTTCTGCTGTGGGTGGTGTTTTTTTTCTACGGAACTGTCACTCTTTCTGCAGTGACTTGGCAGGCAAGCAAAACTTTGAGCCCATGTCGTGGCTTTGTTGCGACCGTGCCTGGAAGGGCAGCGTGCTGCTGCAAGCGCCAATCGTCACTGACTTTGTGATGTTGTCATCGTTGCAGTACTTGAAGAGCTCCTGTTGGCGAAAGGTTTATCCGAACTTCCAGAAAAAACATCCGTAACAAAGCCGTGCCGAAACAAGAACTGCACGTAGCATTCACATCACATCTCGGCCGACCCCTGCCTGGGGAACTTCCTCAAGAAGTTTGCAGCCGGGAAAAATCTGGTCCGTGGCAGCCATGTCATTGATCTTGTTGCTCATCGGGAGGTTGCAGGGCGTCGCCGAATCCTGGCACACCTCGGCGGCAGAGTTTTCTATCCATGGGTCCTTTAGGTTTCTACACCAAGGCAGCAGCAGACAGGACCTTCCTGCTCTCGGAACGTGTGCATCCAACGGCCCTAGACTTTCGAGGCTACTTTGACAGCACAAAGACCGTACAGAGCTGCAGCACGGCTGTTGTGCTGTTTCAAGCAGTCCGTTACGTCCGGCTTCTCGCGATTTCTTGATTGTCTCCTCTGGTGCCTGCAGGCAAGGTGTCGCTTTTGACAGGACTGAACATGCTAGAGCAGTCATTAATACAGGAAACTGAAACATCGGCCAGCACAATTGGATAATCTTGAAGGAGGAAAGGTCCATCTTGTTTCGTTGCTCCCAGACAACCGATGGAACTGGCCAATGTCTTGGAACCACTATAGCTACGTGACTGCTCTAGCATGTCCTGCCCTGTCAAAAGGGAAACTTTGCCTGCAGCTGCCTGCTTGCTTGGCGGTAAAGATGCCGTGAATTGCGAATCTGCTGCATCTTGAGTTACTGGAATTTGGGTGACCCTGCACTGCAAACCGGACACTCTTGGGTGACCTCGCACCCTGTCTCCGAGACATCTCACAGCTTGCAGCGGCAAAGCTCACAAAAACATCACAAAACTGCAAGCACAAGATCCGAAAACAAAAGCGGTCCCTTCGAGAAGAGCCCAGCGGAAACTGGATTCAATGCTTCCTGCCGTTTTCGAAGGGGAGATGTCCGGTGGGATGAAGGCAGGTGGGTGAGCACTGTGTGGGGTCTGGGTGGAATGCTACGCTTCTACACGGCATGCACGGACCACATCCTCAAGCACAAACGATCAGGAACAAGGAAGCTGAAGGAAGAGTCTGTCGCCGGATTCGGCGTTTACAGGTCGACCTGAAAATCTGGTGCCCGTGTTCCAAAAGCTCGTTCAAAGGTTTGGGCTGTCCATGCAGCTACATACACATGCAGGCGAGGCGCAGGCGCTGTCAACGGCAAGTCCGTCTCACATTGTCCAGGAGGAGGAGTGGGTATCGGACTCGTCGAGGGCGGGACCAGGGCCGCGGTCAACACATCTAGCTGTTGAGTGATGTTCGTGAGGGCTGCACTGGTGTTCTCATGTAGGGCCACCTGCTGTTCCATGATGTACTGATGCTGCTTCATGAGTTCCTGCAAGGTCTCGCTGGTGTTCTCATGCAGGACCACCTGCTGCTGCATTATGTACTGGTGCTGCTTCATGAGATCCTTGGACCACCATGGTTGATACCACCCAGAATGGCCATAATGAGCACCATAGCCGTTTTGGCCATAGCCATTTTGGCTGTTGCCACTCTTGCCAGACTGCCCCCATTCATCGCGAGCTTCATTGAGATTGGAGTCACTTTGCAACAAGCTTGGGCAATTTCTGCTGCTCCACTGTAACCACTGCCTGGGTTGTCAGGCTGCTGTGCCAATCTGCCACAGCAAGTGAAGATCGAAGCAACTGTGAATGCTGGATACGCAAGAACACGAGCAGAAATTGCATAGGCGATACTCTTCATGCACGCACCTAACCTTGAGTGGCTGTACGCGCTGTACTTTGACACACCAGAGACGCGAGCGTCTCGAGCAGCAACAAATTCCTTGCAAGACCCAACAGTGCTAAGGTTAACCCGGGAACTCCAAGACAGTGTCGTTGATGGAAACAGCGAGGACCGCCCCCGCCAGCCGATCCTCCGTGCTTTGAGGGCAGTAATCTGTCGGTCGAATTGGGAACAGTTTCCATCAGTTTCCCTGTTATGGTATTGGGGTCCCCGTTATCGCAAAACCCCCCAAGTGTCGGCGAGATTCGGCGAGTGTGGGGCGAGTCTGTGAGGAACACAGAACACTGACTCCTAAACCCTAAAACCCTTTTTTGAACCTAAACCATCCTAAACCCTTACAAACCCTGAAGCCTAAACTGTAACCCCATATCCCCACTGCATTTCCAACAGGTCTTTCCCCACGGTGTTCCGTTCCCAGCGCCATTGCCTGCAAGAAGTGACAGAAACACCCCTTTCAAGTTCCCCAAGCTGCTTCAGCTGCGTGTAGCGCCGTTTCATCTGGAACCGATCTGCTTCGAGCAAACCTGGCTCTGGAACTCTGGAAGTTTGGGCCTGGGCCTCTCATTTCACGCTTCGAGAGGCTCGGCAAGATTTGTCTTGACTCCTGCGAGCTCCTTACATTCGTTAACCATTCTAGACATGTATAGACTGTATAGACATGTACAGACACTAACAGTTAAGACCTCAAGGTCCCAAGGTGCGTAGGGTGCAAATCGCCTCTTTTCGTTTTCTTTGAAAGAGGCCTGCGTCTGAGCATCGTCATCTCGTCGAAGAGAGTATGGAACTGCCACACAGTCTGCGCGAAGAGACCTTCGGAACGTTAAGAACTGCGACCCTCTGTTTATTCGGCCGTAGGAGTATAGCCATGCCATGGAGACGTGTTGTGATTCCTACGGGGCAGCGACGCTTCTGTGCTTCCCGCAAAACGGGCGCGCTGCAACTAGAGTCGGCGGCGTGGAATCATGTCTGCTTGCAACAGGCCTTGCTTGAAGGCTGCCTGCGCGATGTCGAGGAGAAGCGCCGCGTCCTTCTGGCAAAGGCGTTGCGCGTTCTTGCCGTCCGCCGTGATTTTTGCCATCATCTTCGCCTCAAATGGCTAAAAGCGGAAAATTGGGAGGAGATGTCTTCAAGAGGTCCTTACTGAAGCCACTGGACCGGTCCGATCCTTTCAGGTTACCCCGGGGCCTTCGATAGGTAGGCCCGGGTTGCCTTTCAAAGGAAGCCAAAGGCTATCCGGAATTCTCCCAACGACCTGGCACCTCCCCTTGTAGCACCCCAGTGAAAATTATTCGACTTCTGAAACCTCCAAAGTATGTGTTCATTCTTTCGCCGTTCGGCCGCGTCATCGATGGCCAATTCCTGGAGCATCCTGGCACTGGCACTGCGCGGGTTTCATCTGGGGCTTAGGGTTGAAAGGGTATCACTTTCTGTAGGAAAGGAAGCGGTTACTTCAGCGTCAGGGCGCAGCTTCAGGTTAGATCGATGTGGATTTATGGCTCGGCTGAAGTCCTGGTATCCACAACCTGAGCGGCCATGAGCCCGATGGCGGGCACAGCGGCCGTCCAAGCCTCCCATGGGCCACAGAGTGGCGACTGACACAATCCTCCGACAAGAGTCTTCAAGAGTCGACAAGTGAATGGTGAGCTGATCTGACCTGTTTTATGCTCTTGTACCGAGACGTTTTGCCATGCACTGCGAACCCGCAATGAGGTCCCTCCATGTTCAGGTTGATCGAAAAGACAGTTGTCCCCAATACAACCAAACAGAACACTTCATGCACTTGCCAGCGCCGGTCTGAGATTCTGCCTCGCGCAATGTCTGCTGCTCCAGATCATGGCCCCTTTTGGAAGCGGAGTAAGCCTGCTTCAGGTCCTGGCGGCTCATGGGCTCATGGGCAAAGGAACCTGAGTACCATCGCACTCACAGGCCAAAGAACAAGCATCGCCAAGCTCTGTGAGTCAAGCCTGTGCCGGAGTCTGAACTCATCAGGTTCACTGGTGTATTTCACCCCCCCCCCCCCCCCGCACAGTCGTAGCGTGGCTTGAAATGTGGCATGGCCTTTCCTTGAACGTCGCACCGCATTGCGTGTACCTGTCCAGCATGCTCACGGCCTGCTTGAATGACCTCCGACAGCAGTTGAGTTCTGGCTCGGAATTCATGTGCACGTGGCATTGTGGGGCGATATACCTTCTAGAGATGGTTAGAACATGTTGGAATCAAGCGAACTTCAGGATACCTGTAAATGTTCAGGGTGTCCATGGCGCCTTGATTTAGGATCGACGGGACAGGGACTGCCATTCGGCAGCTACAGTTGGCATGTTGCTGGTCAATGTTTTTGTGGGACTCTCCGTCGGGCACCATGCAGGCGAACTTAAGGCATGTTGCGTGACGAATTGACTTGGGCAGCACGAAGCCATGTCAGCCCGATGAACTTCACCGTGTGCAACGACAACCCTTCGCACAGTGCGGCAGCGCCAAACACGAAACAAGCATTGCCGGCTCCAAACTCTGAGATGGGGACGTGCCATTACGCAGGCATGAGAACCTCAACCCAACCCCACCTCCCCCGCCGAAAGCCTCAGATATACATCGTAGGCATCGAGGTACCGATCCAGGCTGCTGCGCAAGTTCCACCTGAAGAGTTTCGCTCTTCCGGGAAGGCACAAATCCGACAGCACAGTCTCCTGAGGCAGAGAGTTGGGCTTCAGCGTCAGATATGTTGGGGCCTTAAACCGTGCTCACACACACCCATGCCCATGGCCGTTGTTAAAAAAGAGAAGACGGATCCAAGACAGAGGTACCAAGATTCGTCCAGCGTGCGCAAGGCAAACTTGAGCGAGAGCTCCCTCAGGTCATCCTCCGAAAACGGCAGAACATCCGCTGGACGCAGAAGGCAAACTAGGCCGACTCCGGCTGTTATAGCGGGGTGCTTTCAAGGTCGGAGTCAGTCCTTAGGATAAGACCTGACAAAAGAGACCTCCAAAACTGATCTCGCTACTTCTGCCTGAATGTGCCGGCATGGCATGGTTTATCGGATTCTGTGTAAAGGAGATTGGGGTTTATCTGTTGTCGATTCTGGACTGAGGGTGGCTTAAGGCTTGTTTCGGTTAAAACGCTGGAAGTTCTGGAGTTTCAAGGCTGTGAAATGTCTTTCCCTGAGCTCTCACTGCTCGACCACCGTAAACGCTGAGAACTTGCTCGTGTCCTGTAGAGCACGTTGTGAGAGCTTGGACTGGCGAAGCCTGTCCAGGGACCAAGCCCTTCAACCTCATGGTTGTAGTTAACATCTGGATAGATACTTCGACGAACACTGTGACTATCCTGAATATCATGAAGCGCTGTATCTCATCTGGCGATGCACTGCTTCGGGCGGCACGCCCGAAGCCCAAAAAGCCCAGAGCCCAGAGTGCTCGAAGTCTAAGCGCTGGTCCAAGCTAGCAGATGCTAGCAGCTAGTTCACCCTCCAAGAAGGAACCATGGTCCCATGGTTCATCATTTACCTCCCTGCAATGGGCGTGGGTGGACTACTTGAATTGGCGGCACGAGAGGTTTCACAGGGCGGCTTCGCATTTCGGGGCCACAAACCACAAGCCCATGCTTGACTCATCTTGACTCCGTATGTTCCGAAAGAGGCTGTCGTGAGCTATCGTGCCTGCTCGTCGAGGCATCGCGAGTGTAGAGCCCCAGGGTCTGGGTTTCGGCCCTCAGCACCTCCAAAAAAGTCCAGGTAGGGTTACAGGGTTCAGATTCCAGGAATTCAAGTTAGGGCCGTTCGGGTGTTGGGATCTTCAACCAATCATCTTGACGGCTTGTGCGGTGTGATTCCTTGGAAACTCCCACCTCGTTCATTTTCGCCACGTAAGCGGCCGTCCTCTGACCCCGGCAGCGTTGGGGGGGGAGTGGTGGGTAGGTTTGTAGTAGCAAAAATTGTTGAGAAAGGCACGGCGTGGGACTGCCCAACCTGTTCTTAACAGGCACAATGTCTGTAAATAAAGCTTGTTTCGTGATGTCTCCAATGGTTCTCCGTGTGATAGACTGTGCCCCCCCGCTGGAGTCTCATGGTGTGCTGTGGGCAGCTGAGCAGGCATCCCTGCCATGGAGGATCCGTCTTCCGGCGATCTGGAACAAGTTTGGAATTGGAACCACCCACATTTTCCACATTTTGCAAGACCAAGCCCCATCCGGACCTATACAATCTCAAGGACTCCGTGAAGTGCTGTCCTGTCGCTACAAGGGTTTGTTCGATAATGGGGGGGGGGGTGGGGGGGCGGGCGACAGGTGTTTGGATTAGAGTATGTTTCGCGGGTATGCTTCGGGGGTATGTTTCGGGAAAGGTTTCGGGCATGTTTCGCGGCATCATGAGCTACTTTACTTGCAATTTCGGGGGTATGTTACGGGGTATGTTTCGGGGTGTGTTGGGTTGGACACGAATCCGTGAATCCGCCTGCAGAATCCTAGCCCGAGCGAATGGGTGGATGCTAAATTCGAGTCGGTGCCCACTCCACAGCTCAACCGGACAAGTCGCCCCGTCTACGAGCCGAGAGCTTGGTGGCGATGGAAGCTGCGGGAACGTGGGTCAAATTAAGATGGGCCAACACAAACCTGCCTGGAAACGACTGGCTTGCACAATCTCTGTACTGTTGGACACAGCACGCCAGCAATCTGATGGTGGATTCCTGGACGTGAGTCGACAAGAACTGAGATCGAAGTCTTAGCCAAAGGACAGCAGACTGCCCAGCGCTTCATAAGTGCGGCGTCACAGCCTACAAAAGTCTTGGACCGATGCGTCCAAGTAAGAACCCATGCGTGAAATAAACCACCACACCCCCCCCCCCCCCCCCAAAGCGCTTGAGTCTCATGGTGCGCTTAGCAAAATAGCGTTCAACAGCGTGAGTTTTCCGCCCATCTGAACCCAGAGAGTACTACATGGATCCCTTCCATCCTCTGCGACTGAAAGCGCACTTGCAAACTTCGCCCGCTGCAATCAATCTCTCCTCGACCTTCAACCTCGACAGAGCCTCGAAACCTCCCTCCTCCTCTCGACGGTTGTGGATGCGGCAGCGCTCTGTGTGGACACGAGCCTTGGGAATTCAGCTCTGTATGGCTTCATGATACCTTCCAGATCCCGCATCCAAAGCTCCAAGTTCTTGGGCTAGGGGAGCCGACAGTAAGAAGAGCCTCCCCCCCCACCGTTGGGGGTTTGTGAGTAAGGTATAGTACGGGTTTAGGGTTTAGGTTTGAGCTAGGTTTCAGGCGTAAGGTTTAGGGTCTCTCCACCCCCCCCCCCCCGCCCCGCCCGTGGTTCAGGCTGCATTTAGGGTTTGCATAACCCCAAAGCGCCGCGGGGCGCTGAGGTTATATAGCAAGAGAAGTTGAATCGCCACAACACTGGGACGCTTCAGGGAAAGCAAGCCTCTTGTAGGGGATCAATTCAAGCAGACTTGATATAGTTGGGATTTAGAAGTAGGAAAACTAACACCTTCCCATTTAATTATACTATCATTTTCAAAGGGTTTGTATTTGCACAATCGTTCTGGGTTATAATTTTAGATAACTCAAAACATTGCATAAACCACAGTATTTAAAACAAAAGTCATCATTTTGTTGATGTTAATACAAGCCTTTTTAAAGCAATCCATCTAGGCAATTCAATAAATTGACCTGCTCTTGTCGGGTCATACTTATCATAATGAAATGTTTCTATTTTATTCAACTTTAATTCAGACCTATAAAATTTCTTGTTTCTACGCTAATTTCCATATACCTGATGCCATCTTTATTCATTGCTCTGTATACGTCTTCTTCATTTAATATATTATATCGTCTTGAACGAACACTGGCTACAAAACCTTTGCCTTCATCTTCTAGATGCTTGACCTCAACGCACACATCAACTAATAATTTCATACTTTTTTGTTGAAATATTCATTTAACCTAGATGTTTTGCAATATGTGTGATAGTGATAATCCTGCATAGCCTATTCTTTAAATATTTGTTATGGCATGTGTGTTAGCATAAGCTTTTAAGCTCTGAATGTTGATGAATCATGTGGTTTCAAAGCCTCTCCTACTGCTATGCCCGTAGTTGCACTAACAAAAATGTTAAAACGTTTATAACCTGGTGTGTTTTCTACTTGTTCCAGTTCATTTATGAGTCTCCTGCAAAATCTTTTGATGGATTATATAGGTATTCTTTAATAAAGTTTATTATCTATAGCGACTTTTTGTAATTGTTTACCGTCTTTGCATGTTTATATTTTACCTACATCACTGTTTAACACTTATTTCGTTACAGATTTTGTCGATTCATATCCATATTACTATACTATAGATTTTCTTTTAAGTAGTTGTTTGCTCCCTGGTGGGGCTGGGGCTCTCCATACCCTATAAGAGGGCTTCCCTTTAAGTAGAGGGGTGTGTGGCTCGGCGGGGCTGGGCTGGTGTGTCGGTTAACAATCGTATTGTAAGATAATATGAGAATGAATGTTCGTGTTAGAAAGTCATCTACACTATTGATATAACCGTTGTCCTCTATTACTGGCTTTTGTTTCTTATATTCTACCGTAGGTAAATAAGGATATCTTGCATCCATACATCTTTCAAATGAATAACCATCTTCAAGATGTGCTTGTGCTATTCGTTTAATAAGCCATATATTACTTTCATTTGAACACAATTTAGATTTCATTTGTTAAATGCTTCCCTGGGGTATGTGTATTCTAGAATTGTATAAATTACAGTTTCAGCTTTATGCATTTGTCTTACAAGATGATCGACAAATTTCCTCTTTGTATTGTTCCTTTTCTCTACATTTTTGTCATATTGAAATATCATGCTGTTTCGTTGTTTGGTGTAAAATTTCGGTACTTTTTCATCAAATTAAAATGAAGTATCATATAGTGATTTAACACCATTGTAGAATTCACTATTATAAACAAGTTTCTTCGTCTGTTAATACACTTTTTCCTTTTCAACACTCATAATGCCTTCTCAAATGCAAGAGATGGATTTAATTTGACATAGTAATATGTTCGAGTTTAGTTTGGCTGGTTCATATTCTTCTATATTGTGTCTATTTTCAACTGCTTCACATTTTCAAACTGGTTCATACAATGTGTATTGCATGAAAATGCAACTTTTTGAAGGCGAGAAGTTTCGAGTGGCAACAAAACTTGTGTCTAAACAATCTCAAGATCCTTTTGAACTTTGAATGGGTTTCCCGAGTCACAAAAGTCGGCATTTGGGCTCATACTACCATCATAAACAATACCTTTCAACCCTTTTAAAGTTTTACACACTTTACATTCTTCATAATTATATTTACAAACATGTTTCACAATATTATCAGGCATATTTTACTTATATAAACTCATATTCTGCTGGTTAAAACTTACACTTTTTGCACATGCTCACTTTTTTTTAATAATTGATTTCGTCTCTATCACATTTCAGAATTCATTAATAAGTTCTTCTTGTTCTATTGTTGACAAAAACATTATATAATGATAATGGCAAAATGTCTTTAAGTACATTTCATGTTCAGGGCTGGGGCTCTCCATACCCTACACGGGTGGCTTCCTTTTACATGTGGGCCGCTAGCCCTTCTAGGGGGTAGCATGGGGGCGCACCACTCACAGAATTTGTGAGTGCTACTCTCGGGTTTTTGTGAGTGCTACTCTCGTGTTTTGTGAGTGCTACTCTCGGGCATTGTGAACTGCATCTGCGGTTTATGTGAATGGCACCCGCGGGATTATGTGAACAGCACCTGTGGGGTTTTATTGGTAAAAAATTTGTCTTAAAGAAATGTTCCCTCAAGAATGTATGCAAAATGAACTTCTTGAAAACTGTAGTAAATGCGGTGTAGCTGGTTCATGGAAATAGATAACCCTGATTGTTATGAATGTAATCAATGCTTAAATCATAGATGGAGGTATAGAAGAACAACCAAAACAAAATAAGTGAATACAACAAAAACTATTATCAAGAGCATAAAGAAGAAGTGAAAGAATTACAAAAGTAGTACACGAATGAATACATTGAGTGTTCATATTGTAAATGTCAACTTCATAAACATAGACAAGCACAACACAATGAAACGTTTAGACATCAGCAAACATAAGAAATCACAAGCATTCATAAGAATATTAGCAGAAAAAACTAAATGTAGACAGGCCACCACAGAAAACCTACAATAAAACCTGCGCATACAAATATACATAAAACTATACCTAGCCCCCGCCAGAAGCTTAATACAAAATGAACAGAAAAAAACCGAATAAGGCGATGACAAATTTTGATAAACATTTTAATCATTTTTGAAAAATTGAGAATGAAACAGAGGAGTAATTCTAAAAACGAAGTAGAAGGTGAATTAAAAATAACGGAACAGATACAGAAAAATGTATATTTGAAAAAACTATTGAAAGAACAAAAGCCCTAGACAATTTTAACGTTAGAGATGCCTAAAACTGATTTCAAAATTTGAGAAAATGAATGAGGTAACTGGGGCTTGAGTTTTTTGGAAAATAAAAAATTGTGAACATTTGTGTAAAAATGTTTAAGGGGCGGTACTGTGGAAATGAAGAAGGTAATTCTATATAAATTACGTTCAAATTTAGCCATATTTTACACGAAAAATGTGAATAAGATGACAACAAAACGTGATAATGATTCAGAAAGACAAGTTGATAAAACGGCATAGCCCCTAGGAGAGCGGGGGGCGAGTCTCAGAACCAACTTTTCCACAGTCTTCTTCTTTCTTTTGGGGGGGGGGTCTAAAAAGTGTTTCCCATTTGGCGCATACGGAGACCCATTTCGCAGTTGGCGAACACGGACCAGGGTGGGGATATCATGAAGGGGGCGGGGGTTCCACTGGGGTTCCTGTCAGGCGCAGGAGTCATCCCCAGCCCCAGCACCCAATGAGGCAGAGAACATCTAGCTTTGTCGGGTTTAGGGTACTGAGTCCTATACGGGTGCTATCTTGTGCCATCTTGGGGACCATTGACAAGGGACCGCAGTTTCGTAACCAATCTGGGACTGTTTCAGGTGTGTTTAGGAGTTGGGGTTTAGGGCTTGAGAGCTTTAAGGTGTATAGTCCATAGGGTTTCCAGGGTTTCAGGAGTTTGGGTCTGGCCGGGGGGGGGGGGGTAAGGTTTGGCCGGCTTGAGGGTTAGGTGGGGGGGTTTGGAGGAGCTTATTGTTCGGAGAAGGGTAAGGGGTTGGGAGAGCTTTTCAGGTTTAGGGCTTAAAGTTTAAAGGCTGTCAAGCTGTTCGGGTATGAGGCATGGGCGTCAAGTCTATATATATATATATATAGAGCTTCAGCCTTGACACTTCATGGTGGCATGCAGCGCGGATACCTTCTGCGAAATGAACCTGAGCGTAGCGAGGAAGGTCCCTCAGGGTAATCTTTGTCAACCGACTCAACTTAACTTGACACAATCGGCACCAAGGAGGGGGCTGCAGTGTCGACGTTGCGTTCGTCCGGCGGTCTTGTAGGCCTTCCTTCGTTCTTAAGGTGACTCTTGTGGGACTGCGCAGGAGACTGACAAACTCTCTGCGAGGATCTCGTGTTGCCGTGGTGAAGGTTCGGATTGCACGGTGGGCAGCCGTCTCTGCGGATGGGCGCAGGTCGGCCTGAAACGACAGAACATGGTGGCAACAGTTGGCAACGGTGCGATAAGTTGCTATACGGGTGCTTCTTGTTTTCGATGTTTTGGCTCCTTCCATGTTCGCTCGCGCCTTCCATTCGAAGCATGCCATTGGGCCATTGGGCGGTTCTTGTTCCTGTACCGTTGCCAGCCCCATGCGCCGATGTGACCAAACCACCCAGAGCCTCAGGAATGTTTTGGTGTTGCGGCACGCCCTCCGCTGGGCCCGCCCCCGCTTGCATCTTCTTGCTCATGCTGATCTGGGGTGTGGTTTAGTCCCGTTCTGATGCACTTACGTGCGCTGTCGGGCAGGGGGCTGCCCGAAATTCAATTGCTCCTTTCAGCCACTTCTATGCAGGGCCATCTGGTCCTGGAGTGGCAGAGCAAATTAAAACATGGCAGTGGTTTTAAGAGCTTAGCTACGCGGTGACACAGCAAACAACAGCACAGGTTCTTTAAGCAGTGTTCCGGAAAACTGATGAATTCCTCCTCCTCCCCCCCGCGCCCTCCCTCCCCTGGGCCGCTGCAGCACTTCTTGCAGGCGCCCTTCCCTCTGAAACAAATCGTAGCTTTTGTATTGGCCCTGCTTCGGCCTATAGCCTATAGGTTTAAGCTTCAACTCGGCTTTGCTTGGTCTTACTTCCGCACTGTTTCTAGCCTCAGCTTGCACTGACAGAGACTCGGCGTTTTTCAGAAGCAGGGGCGGTACAACACAACTGTCAAGTTGTCGTCCAACTCTCTGCTGCTAGGCTTGCGGATTTGCAAGTCTGTATTTATGCATTTAGGGCAAATATGGGCAAATTTAGGGTTCAGGACTGGCACAGGGCACAGGGGCGACAATAGGGATGGCGATCGGTTCCTTCCAAAGCCCTGCAAGGAGATTTGGCCTGAAGCATGGAGTGCATCTCCTGCACGTCTCTGGCAATGCCGGAGCGGATCTCGCTTGTCCTGACCGGGCAGCTTCTGATCGTTCGAGGGAGCCTGAGGGCGTTTCATAGGGAACGCGTCAACTGTTGCTACGCTCTGAGGAACAGCAAGCAAGATACCGTTACCTGTGCGCACTTCCTCGGGCAGCGATGCCATGCAAGGCATGTGAAACCCTCTCTGACTGAAGCCTTCTCCGCACACTCGCACACACCGCGCGCGCGCAGCCTTCATCACTGCTCCCTTTTGGTGCCCATCTATCAGGCACTTGCCTGCTGTAGACTTGACTCAAGTTATCCAACAACCACACATTCAAAACCGAGATCGTCCAGGTTGCCAGGTGTCTGCTGCAGGAGGCTTGCTGTGGAGTCTGCGCCCAAGTTTCTGAAATAGACGTAGAACAGTGTCCGCCTTATCTGTCTGCATCTTGCGCCGGGCAAGTCTTGAGGCTTCAGGTGTATGGCCACGTGACTGCAAGATTTCGAGTGCATGATGGGGCATGCACAGCTTCGTGGTCCAGGGGCGTCCCTTCTTGCATACCTGCATGGAGGACTCATTTAGGGAACATACGTTGCGGGTGTCGGTATCTGTCATTTAGTGCAATGCTAAGAACTTTCAGCTTGTCATACTCAGGGACACAGTGGGTATACCCTAAACCCTAAACCCGACTCTTACAAGTTCTAAAGGACCCTCTCGGCCCCAAGTCGTCAAAGGCCGACGGTGAACACAAAACGGACCAACTTGTCTGCCTTTTCTCTGTCTGCCTGGGCACAAGGCCTTCACCCTCCTTGTGCAAAATCGCCAGACACCAAACAAACCCACAACCGCATTCCTTTCACCTCACTAACCTAGGCAAGGATCATTTCAGTTTGGAGAAATTCGACACCCTGCTGCAAGCTGGAGAGGATGGCCGCATCGCCCTGCCTCGGCACGCTGGAGGCTTTCGGGTTTTAGTCCGTAGAGTCCGGAAAGAGTCCGGGAAAAGTCCGACGAGTCAAGGTTGAAGGCTTCCTTTTGGTTTCCCTTAGAAGGACCACTTGGGCATGGTCTAAGCGAAGGTTGGACCAGCATCTTTTCAGGGAGTCTTCTTTGGGGGGGGGTGTCGCGCGCATCCTAGGCTTGGGCTTCAGGCTTGAGGCGTAGGACGATGAGAGCTTTCTGGAACCCTGGCATGATTCAGGGATCTGGCTGGAAGGTGAATATCTCTGGAATTTCGATCAGGGGTCGACACGATCCATCTGTCAAGGTGTGGTTGATGTGCAGCCTCGTGGCTTGACGACATTGCGGATGCAGTGCAAGTCGCAGAACATCCGAGCCAAGCCATACCTTAGCAGCTTTAGCAGCGCTTGCTGGGCAGATTTACGCATCCTTGTGGGTACTTGCCGCTTTTATTTTACTGCGTGTTGTGTTCAAAACACAGGCCAGACATGCAAACTCACTCTCAACCTAAGCAGGTTTTTTGGGCATCGGTTGAAGTAGGGTAGCGTTGTTTGGGGAATCCTCCAGGCCCATTGTCGCAGGCCTGCGGCCTGCACTGCAAGCAGTTGAAGATACTTTATGAATTCCTACAACCGATCAAGACCATCGACGCAGATCAATCTCGGAGGAAGAACCGTCCACTAGCGAGATGATTGTGGACCGCGCGTGACCAGCGCTGACGTGCTAATGAAGCAGGTCCACAAACTCCACAGTACCCCAACCTGCGAATCACAAGTATCACTCGGCTCCAACGTTCTGTCGTTCAATTGCCACTTGACGGTTGAACAGAAAGTCGAAGTACAGCGCAGCTCACGCCAAGCAGCGCCAGAGGGCCACAGTCCTGGTCTCCAGCCTGGATGCCTCAACGGGACTTCGAGCATCCAGCAAGGCCACGCCGCTACGCTCGCTTCAGGACACTGAATATGGCAACGGAACATGTCAAGGTGCCTGAAGGCCTAAAGGAATGAGGAATGAATGCCCGTTCCACTCCGAATCACTAGAAGGCCCACACTCATTGCCAGCTTTAAAGGTTTTTTCAGAGCTTCAGGGATTGTTGCGTCAGGCTGTTTTGGGCTCCAGGTACTCACCTCGGTCCGGTGGACTCGACTAGGTGGGAAGCCCCACCTGCGATGTGACGAACGATGAACTTACTGAAACCACGAACCCTCCAAGTCCTAGATGGGGGTTTACGATCTTAGGGGGTACCTCATTAAAGGGGTCCTTATAATAAGGGGATTTTATTGAATCTATTGTTCGCCTCGGCCTCTGTCCTCCTTCCCCCCTGCCCAACCCTTGCCCCCCACTAAAAAAAGTGTCGCCCGCCGTCCTGTGAGAAACTGTCAAGTCGCTTGGGGCAGCTGCAACCCGCTGTCACAGGGGCTGGAGTGAAAAAACTGTGATTCGTGCTGGGATTTGGGTCTCCTCACAGGACCCCTTCCATGGGATCCTCTGGGACAGCCAACTTCCTTGAAACCCTCCCAGGAGCTCTTGAGACCCTCTGCCCTTGCTCCCTCCCCCCTCTGACCCCCGCCCCCTGGCCTCCTTCAGCAAGCACCCAGAAAACACCGGCAAGAACCCGAGCTCTGTCAGCAGGCACTCACACACACCCACAAACACCCAAAAGAAAAACAAAACGCCCATGGCTCCCTGTCCACCCTTCGGCCGGCCCGGCTGCCGAGGCGGCGCACGTTAAGCGTTTACAATTATGGGGGTCGATATTCTAGGGTTCCCATATTGTCGTAAACCCCCACATCATGTGACATCCACCTCAGAGCTCCCCACCTAAGCGCGTTTCCGCACTTGTCTGCATGTTGTTGTCGAACTCTGCAGCAAGCCTAGGTCCCGAAATGTCCCGAATTCTGGGTTTCCAGAAGAAGGCATCCCAATAAGCCGGGAGCCTACTTCTGCCCCGGACTTGAGCTTGTAACCCATTCCCCATTGCAACCCATATTGAAACCGATTAGAGCCCTTGCGATTCGTAGACGCAGAGCTCAGCGACTCAAGTGCCAGTGGAACCTAAGGAAGCTTAAGGCCTTAACTTAACACAGTTCAATATCAAAGGTGTGTACTGCGGCCAGGCATCGCAAACCCCTCGGCGGCTTTGGGAGCTTTTGGGGACTACGTTGGGGACTCCGTTGGGGACTTTGTTGGGACTCCGTTGGGGACTCTTGGGATGCGAGCCTTGTAGAATCCCTTCCCCCACGCCCCCCCCTAATTGTAAAAACACTTTCCGGAAAATCCTGCAAAAACCGACCCCGCCTTCTAAACCCTATTCCGAATTAGGGGGTGGGTGCAGGGCTCCCAAAACCCGCAAGCAAAAAAATATCCTGAAGCTCCCTTGCCTCCCTTCCCAGCCTAGACCCTGAACCCTTTTTACCCCAAACATGACATTTGGATAAAAACCTCCCCCTAATGATGAAAACACATTTCGAGTTTGTATTGGGCGGGGGGGGGGGCGTTTAATATTAGGGCGAAGGGAGTAGCTAGGTATAGTTTTATGCTTTGTGTATGTGTATGTGTGTGTGTGTGCGTGTGCGTGCCTCCTTGCCTCTTTCTCTGCGGGGCATCATGGTGTTTGATGGTTTCCAGGGTAGCTTTCAGCGCTTAAGGTCGACAGGCTTAGATTCGGGGAGATGCAAGTTGGGAGCTAAGAAGACCTTTCACAAGACTTTTTCCTTTGAAAGAGAGGTATCAAAACTAGAAGGCACCCCGAAGGCGGAACACCGCTGCAAAACATTTACAGTAACTAAATTTAGTCCTGCGAAGCTGCTCTGGCGATTTCCACTGCGATCTTGGAGGGCTTGTTCAAGAAGCCGAGGCCTCCAGGCGCGGTCAGAACGTCTGAAATCGCCTGCGCGCTCTGCTGGGCATGTGTTGGTGGTGAGGTTCAGGGTTTGATGGGCCCTAGGGGTGCTTGAACTTGGTGGAACCACCTGCCATGACATTTGCTGTTGAAAATTGAAAGATAAACAAGGAAGAGGGCTAGGATGCGCGGTGAGCTTTCGGGTGCGCAGTGGTCGCTAGAGCTCTGTATGGTGCAGAGTGAAGAGGATGTAGCCCGCAGTCCGTTTCGCAAAAAGGCCCCCGAGACTCTCACATGTGGCACCTGCAACTCCCCTGTCCACAAAGACCATGGCAAGTCTAAAGGCAGTCCTCCAATCCGTCTAGAACTCCCGTTCCTGCGCCGAGAAAATGTTGGATCCTGGCAGTGGTATAGAGGATGGATAGGATGGCTTTCAAAAGTTCCAAAACGGCGGGGAGACCCCCAAAGCCCCCTTCGACTTCGGTGTTATTCAGGGGGTTTAGGGTTTAGGGTTTGCGCATGGAAATCTTAAGCTCTGGCACAAGCCCAGCCTTTCGCTTCGCAGTGCCCAGTCTCCCAAAACGTTTCCGCGTTCTCCTTCACGGTCATCGCACTCCTGCCGAAATCGCAACGGGAAGAGTAGGTAGTCGAACGCTGTTTTGGTTGCTTACCGGTGATTTTCTAATCCGTGTTGTTGTATACAAATTCGCCTCGGCTTCCTGCCGAGAAGCGTTTGGAACAAGCAGACCCGGATCAGGCCTCCTTCCCCCTAACCCAACCCTTCCCGCCATACCAAATTTTGTGACCGACCTCCCCCCGCCCTGTGGGACCCCCCCCCTATCACTTGGAGGTGCTGCAAACCGATGCCGTGGGTCGTCCCGCCTGTCGGCGGCTCCTACAGAGGGGGCGCTCCAAAATGCACGACCCTCAACCCTGAACTTTTTGCAACCCTTGCTGGAACTTGCCCCCACTCCCCCACTGCGCCGTGGGCCAGAAACCCTCTTTCCTGTTTTCCTGCCCTGGGGCCAGCCCGACTGCCGCGGCGGCGCGCGCAAGCGTTTACATGCAATTACTTAGTTGCGATTTTTTCTCTGGGAAACGGCATCCCTCGACGGGGGTCACCATACACATTTCCTGGCTGTGGCGGCTGTTTCAGACTTCCTTCGAGGGTGATTTACGCTGTCCCTAGCCGCTAAAGAGTTCCCAGGTAACATCGGAGTATCCGGTTTTGGTGTGCTTTTAAGCGGAGCATAGGGGATCCTACTACATGGGGGTCTATGTTCAGGGGCCCCTCATTCTCGTAAACCCCACATCGACCCTGTCCTTGACATCTTTGTAGGTGACGCCCGAGCCACCTTAGGGAGCATTTCGACGAAGCCGACTCCAGGTGCCAAGAGCACCACAAGAGCCGAGAAGGGTCCCCTCGGTCTAGTCCCCAAACTTAGAGGCCCGAAACTCTTTTTGCCCCCCCCCTCTCCCCATTGCCTTTTTCATCCACCTTGTTGAGATCCCACTTGTACCAGGCCATGCCCTGTCCATCCTGTAGTGCTTTTAAGAGTTCGGGATCTCTCGAAGCAACCTGTAAAGTTTACAGTACAGGCACTTCACGTATCTTCACGTGTCACTGATGTGGGCATAATGCGACAGCAAAGCCGTATGAGTATGAGGCACTTCCAATCGAGAGCACTTGCAGGTTAGTATAAAAGATATACCTTCAATCCCCATTGCACTGACTTGTGCTGATCGGTCCTTGAACACGTCAGAGTCCGTCGGGAACCAGTCTGAAACCGTGGAAACAGCGAACTCGTACGACGGGTTATAGGGTAGTGGGAGGCCCGTGTTCTGCTTCTTCTCCTGCGGGTTCCAGGTGCAAGTAGGTCACTCAAGATGGGCCGTTTAGAAGTACACCAAGCTCGACCCTGAAAGTCTTTGAGGCCAAGTGCTGCTTTATCCCCTTAAGGCCTCAAGAACCTGAGTAATGAGCAACGGCGCTTTAAGCTCTTAAGCCCAAGAATGTGTAACTAATTGTAACTGTGTGCTCGAGAGACGTTTTAGGGGCTCGAGGTCCATTCACGGTACGGTGCACTGTCATCACAGCTTGGCTCTTATTCTTCCGAGCCAACATGCCTGGTACCTACAGTAAGCGTGACTTGGAATCCATGTGTCACTTTGAAGTCCCACAGCATGAGGCTGCTGCACGCAGAAGACATGGCACATCTAGTTCCACCAAATTCTTGTATCCAGCACTAGTGTCCCCCTTTCCGCCCCATCCCCCAAGCACACCAAGCACGATGCTTCGTCTTCGTCTGCCTTGGGCGTGCTGTAGACGTAGGCACACGGATTCTCGTCGTTCGAGGCTAGCAGCTCTTCAGCCACTCTGTTCATCTCCTCTTTGGCCGCCGGGAGGGGCTGCCAAGGAAAGTCTCTGGGGTTTGGCTGCGAAATGTTTTGAAGCTGATGACTTCGGAATTAAACCCTTCAACCCGCAATCTGGCGAAGTTTATCAAACGCAGTGAGAGTGAACACGAGAACCACAAAGCCAGTTATTGTGCAACGAGGAAACGAGCATGAGCTCCACTGCAGAGGTTGCGTGATCCTGGTTTTCATCTCTGTCTAGCGGGGTTTGCTTTTTTCCATGTAAGCAGGCTTGCAAGGACTCTCGAAGGAGAGGACACACAACAGCTACTATACTCGTGCATTGCGAAGCCTTTTGGAAGAGGAACTCATTTTGATTGATCTGCTAGACAGAAGTGGGAGACAGAAGCCCGGCACATGGCTTCTGTTTCGTAGTTCTTCTAGAGCAGATACGTTCATCAACCTTGTATGCAGGCTTCATGTCCTCGTTCGTGTACTACGTGCAACTTCTGAATATGTTCATCAAGCTTCGACAACACTGGTGGAATGGTCAAAGCTGAAAATTTGGTGTCTGGCCTGTTGCAATGTTAAGGGCAAGAAAACGGCACTTCTTTCTTGTATTCGTTCTAGATTCTAGCGCTTGTCTCTGTGAATGCCTTGGCCTTTCAACTTCGTACTTGTAGGAGCTTCGCCGGAGTCCCAGCACACTCCGCCATACTCCGCCCTGAGTCCTCTTTGTCGAAGGCGTCTGATCCAGGCGTCGACTCATCTTTGCACTCTGGTGCATAGACAGGATCCTGGCAGTTGCGAAGCTTCCCTTTCGCTTTAGTGAAACTCCAAGGCCCACTTAGGCGTTTTCATGGTTTCCATGGTTTCGGCCTTTGGGATGTTCTGGGATGTTCTGGGCTTCGTTCGGGGCTTTGTTGCTGGGCTTTTTCACATCGAGTTGTTCCGAGTTGGTGACTCGACTTATCCCAAATGTGCTTCGAGTCCTTGGCTTGGTTTGGGTTCTCTAAGGATGTTCGCCGCAACCACTTCTGAGATTCTGGGGCTGCCTCTTTGCACGGCTATGGCTTAAACAGCTTAAGTTCGTGTGGTTCATGTGGCAAGCCCACCTCAGCGGCGAATCTGATCGGCGGAGCTTTTACCTTCTCCTGAACAGGCTCGCGCAGCTTACGATGGGGAGGCCCAGGATGGCGAAAGGCGAGGGCGTCCCCGACCCTGATCGGATATCGTGGCCTGTTTCGATCTGGGAAGTCTGGCGCCAGCAGCCTGGCGGGTCTACGTGGGTCCAGGGCAGGGCGTGTAGAAAGGAGTGTATATGGTGAGTATAGGATTAGGTCGGCAGCCGGAACCATCCAATCACACTCCGCGGGGTGGCTCGGTTTTTGTGGGGATCCCCTGCCTGCGGGTTGCCACCTGCCCCGAAGGTGCCATCGAAGTCGTCCACCGCAACCGCCTTCCAGTTGGGACCGTGGGACATGCGTGGGATTCCCAGACTCCAAGAAACTAAACCCTAAACCCTAAACCAAACCACAAGGATTGTGGCTCTTCTGCACCTGCCATGCCGCGCCACCCAGCTGTTCATCCAAAGGGTGGACCTGGTCACGCGGAATGCAGCTTGTTCCGGCGCACCACTCACCTGGGAAAGCAAGGCCAAGAACAGGTCCCAACAGAACAGAACAGAACAAATCTGAAACAAGCCCTGTCACCAGTTTCGGCATTGTTCTCAAAAGTCCCGCTCGGCTTCGACGAGAGTAAAAATGTCATCGCCTGGCTGAACTTTGGCCGGTCAAAATCATCAAGAGCCTTAGTTTGCGCAGAAAGCGGCAAGTCTTCCAGTCTGGCCCTGGATCTGTCGACAGTACAAGTTTGGTCGCCGAGGTCCCAATCATAACCACAGGAAGAAGAAAAAACAGCTACTGGTAGCAGAATTGGCAGGCGCTTTTACTGATTGCGGGACATCGTAGATACCCGATCGCCGAAAACACTGCCGTGGGAGAAGGCTAGCTACTCAGAATTCGGCCGAGGATGCCATCAAGTTCGCCAATGATACTGGCGGTAATATTGAATCATTTGTCCAGCGAAGTTAGGGAAAAGGTCTGCCAGCTTGGCATCTTTGGCCGTAGATGTTTATGCTTGATCTCAACTCGAATTCTGCCTGAAAACTCGCGCCGCAGCAGATAAATCCCCATGCCGGAGTAAACCAAAGTTGCTCAAGAGGAACGTGATAAAGCTACTGAACGACAGGCAGGCCATCAACAACGTGGTACAGCGACAGTACTGCTTAAGAAATCATTTGATTTTGTAGAGAGAGAGCTGGCTAATGCATTCACCTCAGAAAGAAATGAGAAATGTGTTAAGAAATTCAGGGACCCTCAGGGTGCGAGGTGAAAGCTATGGGAAAAACGGGGGCCTCAACTGTAAGAAATCCAGGATACCCTGACCTGACCTGGAAATATCGCTTTATCCGGCGCTGTCATTGTAGTCACGTCAGGCTCGCAGTTCTGCTTGTGAGAAAATACACTGCGCAGTTTATAACTACATGTGCCACATTCTTGAGGGAGCTTTACCATTGACATGTCATACTCTGAGAATGCCTACTTTGGAAGAGTCTGTACGGGGTAGCGTTAGGCATTGGTGGAGCCAAGACATTTCGTGACGTACGCGACTCATCGACATCCATGCCAGCAGCCCTAGTTGCTCGCGCGCAGTATGTAAAGTCTCCTAGTGTCAACCTAGACAATCGCCAAGAAGAGTACGAGACCACAACCTCCATAGTCGGAGCAACAACACAAAATTGCCCAAGAAGCGCCGGGTGTATAGATGCCCTCCCGTTGATTCACGTCGCCACCATTCACCTAGGCTGTTCTTGGAACCCTTTCAAGCGGAACGTGAAGTGGCATCCGGCTCTTCGATCTTGGCTTTTTCAGAATTTCTAGTGTGCAACTCAGGTTCCTTCTTTTGCCCAGTGCCTCCAATCAAGATGGGATTCGATCCAAGCTGGCAGCACCGGAAGCGGAATCGTAGCCACTTCCCTTGGCTTTCGGGAAATCGGCAGGACATAAGAATTGCGTGAGGGCAGGTATGTTGATATCCGGCCGAACTACGCTAGTCGCCCTCGTGCAGCTCACTCCTTTTGCTGTCTCCGCTACGACGGTAGTCAGCTTGTTCAGATTTCGAAGGTGTTCAGCTATGTCTAGTTGTGGTTTCTTGAGCTTTGAGCCATCTTTGGATGGCGCATGCCTGGTAGCACTCTGGTCCACTGTTGGTGTGACCATATATACATGAAAGCTGGTCTCAACTCACCGTTGGTGAAGTTGGACGGCTTCAAGTGACGTGGTCACATACATCATCACACCAAGACAGTACGCTACTGTGGTTCGGGTTCTGCTCGCAAGAACGAACTCGTTGGCATTGCAGGTGTATAAAAGAACGATGCCCAGTGTGAAGAAGGCGCAAATGTCTTTCCACTGCACACAACAAGATGGAAAGAGCAAAGCGCCTAAACCCTAAGAGAAACCTCAAAGTCAGACCGAGTGTCCTCCTGCATCTGTCTCACCATTGATGGCCTGAAGACCAAAATCTGGACTACAGTCCAGTGCCTCAGCCGTAGGAGTCATTGTCTGAGGGGGTTTAGGGGCAAGCGGCAAGCGGTTAGGTGGGTGAAAAACCTGCTCAGGGCTGAGGGGAAGTTTTGGGGTGCTAACCACACACACGGAGGGCTAGAACAAGGCAGGTCTCGATCTTTGTAATCCTTTTCTCTGAATTCTCTTGAAGGGAATCGTGGTCACTGCACTCCCCCAGCGGAGCGACTTGCACGCACTCATAGGAGATCTGGTATGATTCGGTCTTCACGATGCGCTGCAGCAAAGTGCCCGTTTCGCATGTCATGTTGAAGTCGCCGCCATTCAAGATCGAGGACCACAGGTACGATCCGTCCGGCGCATTTTCATTGAAAGCATTGCCTGAAGAAGATCGGTCTGCGAAGCCAATTTTCTTGGTCTCAAGCTCGCTGCCGTACTCCGAGTAGGAGGAGTTGTAAAAATCAATCTCCTCACGTCCGTTGTTCTGCCTATACCGGACACCAAACCACCTCAGAGGTCTCATGCTCACGAAATCATCTGCATGAGTTGCTCAGTCGTTTTAAAGTCAGCAAGTTGCCAGAATAACCTCAGCCCAAAAAGGATCTAATCTAAAAGTCTCTCAGCCGCCCCTTCACTGTGCCCCAGTTCGGCAGTTGGAAACCTTGAAGGCGAGCGCGGTTTTTTGTAGGTAGCTTGTAGACCTTGGTGAGTCCGGGATTGTAAGGTGAAGAGCCATCGCATATTCGCCTAAAGTCTAAAGCCTCGGCACTCTATGTGCCACGCCCTCCCCCTTCGCCTCCCCGGCACCCCTCCCCCCCGGCGCGCCCTCCGCAAGCCCGCAAGATAGCAAAGAAGCAGAAAGAGCCCACAAGCTGCCAAAGATAAACGCCAACTTCCTTGCAGCAAAAGGACAAAGGCACTGCCCAGCTCCAGACCACCATTCAACAGCGTGTACTGAGAATCGTCAGCGGAGTAGGCGTTCTCATTCTGCAGCGTGCCCCGGACCTCGGTACGGTCTTTGGGTGTGGGAGAGGGGTGACTGGGTTGGGGGGCAGAAGATGGCAGAAGCCAATGACAAGCTTCTGGACTTAAACTTAAGGTGTCAGCTGATTCAATGTTGTTTAGCCTCTGGTTGTCCGGGGTGCAAAGATCTGGTCCGACCCGCCATTGCAGACCTGGTCGCGAGGGTGGTTCGAGCTGAGGCTGTTGCGGCTTCAATGATTCGACCCGCTCTTCATCCGAGATAGCCCGCAAACTGGCCCAAATCCGCGACTGCCTAAACTTCCTAAACCAGAGAGTGGGGGAAGGTGGAGCTACTTGGAGCTACTTGGTACTCAAGACAACATCCATCAAGGCTTTTAGTTTCGGTTTAGCGAACGTTTGGAGCTTCAGAGACTCCCTTGGAAGACTTTCCCATCCGCACCAGCAGCTGGTTCGTGATGCACCGGCCACCAATTCCGTTCCCACATTCCCCCGCTGTCGCACACTTCTTCCAGAGTTCATTCCTCAGCTCTTGGGGGCATTAGGACTTTTTTGGGCGTTGTTTTGACATTCTAGGGACAGGGATTCTAGGGATTCTAGGGATTCTAGGGATTCTAGGGATTCTAGGGGGCCCAGCCGGTTTAATGGGATGCCGGGACGGTTGAGCCTTTGCAGGGTCCGGCTTTCGACAGGGCTTGGGACATCTTTGGCCATTGCGGGCTATGGTTCGGAGTTTCGGGGGCTCTTTGGTCTCTTTGGTTGTCGTTCCCGATCCCGAAGCTTTGCTTGGAGGGTGGGGGGGGGGTCTTGAAAAATCTTGGACGCAGTTGAATTTGATTGAGCCCAGCAGTCCACATCATTTCAAGGAAGTTCAGTTCAACAACCTCGTGACAAAGCTTCAAGATGTTCAGCTTCGTTAAACCGCTACATATTCCACGGAGGTCGGCTTCATGAGTGTTCCACGTCATCATTTCTGGTAATACCCTAAACCCTAAACACGTTCTGCAGTGCTTCCTGGGAGGACTCTTCAGCCAAGACGCCGGATCTGAAAGGACAAAGGACGCGGTGGAACTTGTGTCAACTTTGCTTGATTGGTGGCTGCCTTGGAGAGTAGGGTTTAGAGTTTAAGGTTTGGGGTTTAAAGGGTTCTCATAGACTAAACCTGACTTGGAGCCCTGGGATGCAGCCGATTCTCTACAGTTGCACTGACACAGCCACATAGCCCTAAAATCCTTCCGCACTGCTCCAAGCTCATGACGCCCCGATAGCCTCAGCTAAGCCCTTCTGCAAGGAGCGCCGTTTGAGCACTCTGTGTTTTCATCTTTCAAACTCACCCGATATGCAACTCAAGAACCTGAAGCCGTGAGCTTAGCAAACCTCACATGACACGGAGATGTGACGCCGTTTACAGAAGCTTCCCTTCTACCTTTGCTAGCCATATCTAGCCATGTCGCGACCACGCATCTTGCGGTGAGCGTTGCTGGGCCGAAGACGACACTGCTCCTTGGACAGCCGACTTTCCGTCTCAAGAGTCAAAAGTGCATCTTGCATTCTGTAAAGAGACATCTTCCAGGAACCTCATGGAACGTGAAGCCCCGTGAAACGAGAAATGTCGGTGATTTCCAAGGGGCGGGGAGATCTAGCATGTAGTTCGGATGTCAGGTTGCATAGTTGAGGGTGCGGCTGATATCCCCCTTTGTGGCAACCCATCCCTGGAACCCGAGAACTCAACCTCACACCGCCAAGAGTCAACACTCTGCCGACAGCCGGCGTGCCACTGTCGTAACACGCAAGATCACCAGTCTGAGGTTTGGCATTGGGTGTTGCTATAGCTATACCTTCATCTTTCAGAACCTACTCATAGGAATTCTGGGACCCCACCAAAATTCAGTAGGTTCTGGAAGGTTAAGGTAGGGTGTAAGGGCGTTCTATTGTTGAAGGGTTTCTGGGTTGAAGTGGGCAACCAAGCAACTCCAACCTTCCCTAGAAGGCAAGAAGCGCTGGGCTTCGATACACAAGTTAAAAGGCTTGCTGTTGACCCGCATCCAAGCCACGAGATCGAGGATGTTCGACACGGTATCATTGGGACCTGAAACTTCCTCGCATAGCGCGGGTTTGGGTGGATTGTGGCATACACCAGATGCAACCTCATTTGCGCAGGCTTGCCGTTACCCCGTGACCATTGCTGACACACCCAGATTTGTTGCAATGTTTCTCACAGTGTCACTTCACGGACTTCATTTCGAACGTGCATGGGCATTCTCTCCGTTCGAGAAACGACTTTGTTGACGTGTGCTGGGCCCATCCTTTCGGAATACCAACATCACTCCCACGATGATTGGCCCGACTATAAACTAAACCACATCGAAGCCTGAAAATAGCGAAGCACTCTTGTAAGGGTCGCTAAACTAAACCACATCGAAGCCTGAAAATAGCGAAGCACTCTTGTAAGGGTCGCAGGTCTGCTTTCTTCCTGAATGTGGGGACATGAAATCGTGGATCTAGTTGGGTCGGCAAAGAAAATTTCAAAATGCCTGACATCATCCCTTTCATACCTGGATGCCCTCTCCCTCCCTATCAGTCTCATCAGCGTCCTGGTCGTTGTCCCTCTTGTACTTCCTTGGGCTACCACAGCTGACGGCAGTGAAGATGTTACGCCGGAAGCATCCGGAACCCCAATTCAGGAAACACAGCCTCAAGGTCGTATTGCAGAGCAATTTTATGCCCTGTAAATCGTGGGGGGGAGGGGGCTGGCTTCTGAATAGAATACCATAAGTAGCAGAGGGTTTCGGGCTTGGGGGTTTTCAGCTTTGCTATGCTTTGCTCCTGCTGTGCTCATAGGGATTAGGGCTACTCAGGGTTTCCAGCTTCGTTCAGACTATGCAAAATTTCGGCCCTGAGGTTTTTGGGTGTAGGGAATAAGGTTTTCAGATTTCAGCTTTGCTCAGGCTCAGTTCAAAAGTTCAGTTTAGACAACAAATAGTAATACATTCTAAAGCCTCACCAAATTTTAGCATGACCCCAAAACCTTCACACAATTCCGGGGGACGCAACAGATTTGACCCAGATTGTCCGAGGGCGACAACTCAACCATCCCGCAAGAACACTGTTGAAGTCCTCATTGTGTGCTCTTTCCGGCCAGCCGTCTATTTTTTTTAGGTACAGAATGAGAAGACCTGAGCAACTCCCTCTGGCAGACCGAAGACCATGTCTGAAGGGGAGCAAAAGCATTGTAGATTCGCCTGGGATTCCCTGGAAACGGAGACCTGATCTTTGCTGCCTTAGGGGGAAGCATCCTTGCAGTATGTGGGACGAGCCAACAGTTTAATTCGCTAAACAACCTTCAGTGACTGGTAGGCCCATGAACGACTGTGCACCCTCATCGAGTATAGAATCTCAAATGAACGGATGTCTCCTCTCGCAGTAGTTCGGCTCTCTGTCCAAAGCGCTCGTAGACCTGCGTGGCCACCGCATTCCCGTTCAACAGCTGCTCAGTCGAATTCGAAGATGGCTCGAAACTCAAGTTGCCACCTGAGCTTGGTGGGGTTTCAGTCCATTGGTGGCTTTCAACTGTAGGGTTGCCTAGTAAGCCTACTTGGCCCGATGTGAAAGTTTATATAAGTGCCCACGAAGTTGTGGTTCATGTGAAGTGTGCAAACACAATGCCCGCACCTAAACATGCGCCGTCGTCGTCAAGTGGATCAGGTACAAGAGCGTGAGTTTAATGGCATTTCTTGACTGCCAGGAGCACTGCTTGTGTCGCTGTTGGGAATTGAGAGAGTGCCGGCAAGATCCTGATATATTGGCCGTAAATGTAGGACAGACCCTAACAGACCCTGTCCCTGCACCAGATCGGGCTTCTAAGGCGCACGGCTCCGCGTTTGGAAAGAAGCCTCGTCCCAGTGCGTGGCACAACAGCGCAAGCAAGTCAGCACAGGTGCATTTGATGCAGACCGCTGGTGCGACTTCCTGCAAGGTTGTCGTCATTTTCAGACATGAAATTTGGTTTACTTTATCCTTCGACGATGGATGGTCAGTGGATGCAGTGGCCACACAGGACTGTGATCATGGCTCGCTGGATGCGCTGGTAGCATGGACTCATCGCTCGGATATGGATGCTCAGGCCGCTCGGGCACTGGGCATAGGGCTTTTCGAGGCGACGAGGACTTGGCTTGAAACTTGATGTGTAAGCGGTGAGCCGTCGTCAGGCAGGACGTTGCGCGAAATCAGTCCCAAGAAATGTCATGAAGCTCCTCTGCCAGGCACCGAAGGTGCAGCGCTAATTAGTAGTAGCGTTTAATTCCCACGAAACGCCCTGCCAGCGCTGATCGTAGCGTCGTGGTGGGGCCAGATTCTTTCGGTTACCTGGATGTACACGGCAAACGCTCCTTGCAACCCATCTGGCGAAACGCGTTTGGTGAGCAACACGACAGTCTCCATCCACTGTTTCGAAAAACTAATTTCAGTGATGCCCTGCACCTTTGGCGACTCAGGTCAGTGATGCCCTGACCCTTGTGACTTACCGGAGACCCCTTGCAAAGCCGAAACCCGAAAGCCCTTGACACAAAACACTGACATCCCCGGCAGCCCTCGGCCGGTTCAGGGCTTAGGCTTGATTCAGGGTTTCACTTCAGGGCTTTGAGGCTGTTTTAAGCTTTCCATTGGGGCTTTAGTTCTGTTTCGGGATTCAGTGTGGGGTTGACCGTGGACCCATAGTTTGAGCTTGGGGCCCCCAAGATTAGGGTTTGGGTAACTTGGGTGTCTAGCATGATGGGTTTTAGGATTTAGGATTTACAGTTTTGGGTTAAAGGGGTTTCGGGTTGGGGTTTTAAGGTTGTTGGGTTTCGGATGGTTTCGGGTTCAGCGCTCAGGGATTGAGGGCTTCAAGCTATATGGGGGGTGTAGGGCCTTGAATGGCTCTCAGGCTTAGGCGCTCACGGCACTACGGTCTTCAAGGTGGGAGGTTTGGGGTTTTGGTGCTTCGGGATGTAGGTCACTCACGAGCGAGCAAAGGAAAGAAAACGAGAGTCAACAACATGCTTGAAAAAATCAGCGATGAGTAGCGGGAAGAAGTCGCAAGCTATAGACCTGTTACTGCTTCGAGGAGCCGGGGCACCTGCCGAACTCAGGCAGGTCCCTCCAAAAAAGTAGCAGAACTTGCGCCTCGGGTGCTGAATTTGTCCGGAGGGACTAATCTGAAATCTTCGCCCAGTAATTTTGGCCGGATTGCCTGGGGTAAGCTCAGCTGTCGTGATTGCTAGGCCCGCCGGGGCGGAAGCGCTACGTCTGTGACAGTTGCACGTTCTGCGACTTCAAAGACATGCTCTTGATCTCTATCTGTTGCATTCTCCTCCTTCAGACTCGGACGAACTCAACTCAACTCAACCTCCTTTCAACTGGCTCTCAGTTGGGCTCTCTAAGCTTTCTGTAGCTTTCCGTCTAGCCACAGCTTTGGTGTTCCAGCCGGCGCGGGCGCAACGTAGATGGGATCCAATAAGGACTGATTTGCTTGGCCCCATGCACCTGGCGGCACATCTCGTGCTGGCTCCGAGTGATGTCTGAGGCTATTTTAGGTATTTAAGGGGAGCGTAGGGCTCACGAAGGATTCCTGAAGCCCCCGAATCCATCCCTCTGCTCACCTTGCAGCAGAACGTTCATATAGTAGTTTCGGAAGAAGAAGAGCTCCTGCGCATTCCGGACCTGCGAGAATTGGGGCTCAGGGCCCTAAACAGGCAGTGTAGAGTTCAGCCTTGAGAGGCTATTTTTTCGCCTTGGGGGCCAAGCGGCTAAGCAGCGGTGCGTAGGTCAGGCATTGATCTCTTGCACCTAATTGGATGGTGCTTTAAAGCAAAGAGTACAGGGCCTGGTGACCATGGCGAGATCCCGCTGTTCCGCAGGTCTTGGGTGTTGCCATTGCTCCAAGGCTTTGTGGCGTCGTCACGAAATCACGATCTTACCTAGGCTCTGTGTGCATTTTGGCGCTGGAATCGCTCAGAGTCGTGAAGACGTGCAAGTGGCGCACGCTCTGTGTCGCGGGTTCTTGCAAGGTTTCGCTTTATGCTCCCGCCGACCCGGGCACTCCGCACGAAGCGTCGCCCTTGGTCTTCGGATCGTTGTGCTCCCACAGCCTGTGCACATGCTCGCGGAACGTAGACTTGTCGTCGCTTTTGGAGCTCTAGTGGCTTGACAGTCCACTCGTCGACTTGTGGCGACGTGGACTTTAATTTGTGTCGTACTGGTACGTCCGGAGGTCCGGTGCCTTGAGAGTCGACTTTTGCACCAGGATGTCATGTGCTGCCCGAAAAACAGTGGGGCTCCAAACTCGTGAACTTGGGACTGGTGTCAGGCCTAGAGAGTTCTGTTCCTGTACTAGGGCGGAGGTTTTGTTTGGATCTGGTACTTGTGGGGCGTTAGACGGTTCGACTTGTGGGTTAGAACCTTATAGGAGGCTGCTTGTGCTCTTGGAAACTCCATCTTCAGTTCCGAAGCAGACGAAGACCACGAATCACCAGTCGAGGCGCGCACAAAGGCTTCGTTGGAGCTGTTCGGATTGATGATCACATCTGGTGGCTTGTAGCTCAATGGTTGCTACGACCCGTTGGGAGCCCAGTGACCCACACAACTTGGGAGCTTGAACCCTAGCGAAGGCCACAACTAAACGCCTAATGCATTTCTGCAAGCGGGCTCTGTAGCCGGAGTCAAAGCGCGACAGAGGGAAAGCAGCAGATGGAGCCTTTAGATCGCGGTAGTAGTTGCTCACGATCTGGACGTACCTTGGTTTTCTGGGAGCACCCAGAACTGCCGTGAATTCTTGCGAAATTGCAGATCTCCAAGAGCCTTTTCCTGCAGATCGGCCGTTCCATTGTGTGATGTATGATGTATGCGTTCAAAGTCAAATTATGCTTCCTTGTCGAACTTCGAACTGGTTCCGCTTTGTGTCGTTTCTGCTCCTGTACTTCTAGGTCTGCGATGGTCTGTGGCCTCTTCTGTAACTTAAGGATCGGGAGCCCATGTGGCTTTTTCTCGGGGTTTGTGGCCTGGCATGGGTTAAGTTTTGTGCGCTCGCCGGAAGCTAAGAAGGCTTGCGAGCCCTATGGAGCCCTGGACCCCAAAGTCCCATGAGCCATGGCCAAGCATCCCATGCTCAAACTTGCCCAAAACTCCACTGGCCCCAAGCCTAGAACCCTGAAGCGCAAAGCAGAGCAAAGAAACGCCAAGCGGTGCCAAGCCTAAACTCCCTTGAGCCCCGGATCGCATGGCAGCCGCAGGGGCGGTTCGCATTGAAAGTTCACGAGGCCTACGGATCCGCTGGGGTCAAGCCTGCACGGAGTCTCTTTTTCGGCGCCATAAGACGAGTGTAGGCGAATGTTTGGCTTGGCTTAAGTACGGCTTAAGGGTTTTGGACGCTCGCACTCACACAGCCCTAGTGGCCCTAGTGAGGTTTCACAATGGGTCTGTACTTAGAAGATCAGAAAGTCAGGACTCCACCCCGACATCCAACCAAGCTCGCGGAACCCTGGTAGAGCCAGACTTCCCAGTAAACCAATCTCCCACCCTTCAGAGAGACGACTTCGTCCCGTTGGGTTCTTTATTTGGGCTTCGGGCTGAGGCCGCAGTCTGCAGGTGTTCGCGACTCTTTGGTCCCTCCAAGTCCGCACGTCAGAAAATCCAACGGCCGAGGCACACAATCCTGAAGAAACCCAGGAACCCCCAAACCTTCAAGCTTCATGCCCAAAGCAGCTCAGAAGCCAACGACCGGATTGACAAGTGAGGCCAAAGCGGCCAAAGTTCTGGCCAAGACCATTCCTGGGCGGATTGAAGCCAGTCACTTGATCTGAGGGCACCTGCATTTTTTTGAAGCTTTTGTGAGTCCAGTAGACTCAGTATAGAGCTGAGGGCTTTGGATGTTGCGTGAACCAAACCATATAAGATCTCAGCCCAACTTCAAGAGCAGCGGTGCATATCTCTCGCGCCAGCAGCTCACCTGCATCACGGCGCCGTGCAAGTAGCCGCTCCGCAAGAGGGACTTCTGGAGAACCTGGTCGTAGTTGGCCCTGTCGGTGCCAGATGGGATGACTGTGTACCTCACTTGGCCAGGGACAACAGGTGTCAAGCCGGGTTGTGGGGGCAGTAGGTCCGGTAGGTTTTCAGGCTTGCATGACCAAGGCGCTTGCATGGTGCACACTCCTGAATGCCCACACCACCGAGAAACAGCATCGTGTCGCAGTCCTCGAAGAGATTCTGATCCAAGCATGGCTCCGACAGCATGTCGAAGAAACCTGCAGGGCGCTGGATCAACCAGGCTCTTGCAGGGACGCGTGCCGGGAATACAGTGATCCAGAAGCTGTCGCTGCATATTCTTGTCTCTATATATGCGGCCCCTGAACCATCCTGAACCAATCCAGAACCTTGAAATTCCTAAATGCTAAGGTATGCTAAAGTCCTTGGCATCCCTTGGCCTGCCTACCGTGGGGACGTAGTATGCACCGAGGTTTTGCCGGCGCTTTGTGGTTGTCCAACACAAAGCAGCGTCGGCAAGTGCACATACCTGAAGATTCCTGGGGAAGGAGTAGAGTTGGCCGGCGAGCCCGACCTGGCGCGGAGTCTTGAGGCATCTGCTGACGAGGATCTGTTCTGTGAACTACAAGATTCAGCGCTTTTTGATACCTCCGACCTCACGCCACAAGCTGAAACAAGTCTTGTACAGCCGGCACTGCTTGGAAGAAAGCACCTCTCCCGAGAGGAAGTAGCGGCAGTCTTCGCGCTCCGAACACAAGACCTGACACTCCTCAAAGGTCAGTGTCTGCAAGTCGCTCTCGAAGATGACATCCAAGACTTGTTCCTGGTCAAGTCCGCACGAAAACTGGCCATCAACAATGAGAAAGGGCGGCGCAGTGAAGACGTTCCCGCTTCCCGCAGGAATGCTGGAAAAGGCATCGGGAATGACCGGGGCATTCTGTCCCCACCTTGGCTGTTCTTCCCAGTGTCGTTAACACATGCTGCTCACTTGGCCAAGCATCAGCCTGGAGCGATATCAATTTTTGTGCGGGGATGCGCACTGATCCCTTCCCCCTAATGCTAGGGTCTGGCCTGGCAAACGCCTGCTGCATCCGCAAACGGGCCTTTCAAGACCAGCCCGATTCTGCAGACACCGCTACATACAGACATTAATCTACGCAGCTTGGGCAGAGAAACTTCCGCTCAAAGAAAAAGCTTGGTGTCGGTGACCTTGTGCCTTGACCACTGGTTGACACCAAGCCGAACACAGTTTCTAACGGTGGGGTCAGGCTGAGTTCTAGGACTTGGTTTAGGAAAGCATATCTAGAGCCCCAGGACGTAGAAGAATTCCGCCTGCTCTGATTGCAAGACGGCACGACATCGTTTAGTTGCTGTCCAACGCTCTGTACTCTATGAAGGCCAGCCTTGCCGATGCATTCCTTTCCCCTTAGAGGCCTTCGAGGCTTGCTACACACACACACACATACACATATAATTGTAGGGTATAGCCGAAAGACCCCCAAAATAATAGGCAAATGGCCTTCCGTCAGCCAAGCTACAGCGGCGGTGCGCACTGGCAGGGATGCAGCCAGTGATCTTCGGGCAGGTCGCTGCTCGGATCATCGAGCACAATCCTGGAGCAAGCTTTAGCGCAGGCTTTTGGGTTCTTGTCATGGAGAGCCTGGGATTGAGAAATGGTTTAAACGGTTTGGAGATTGAACGTGTAGATCAGTCGCATTCTGAGGGTTTCAAGTTTAGGGATCGGCGGATTCGGGATTGGAAATTCGTAGGTTCAGGGTTCAACATAGCCTTCGGGGAGGCTTTCGCTTCTAAGCCCATAGGCGTCCATACTGGCAGACACCACTTTGAAAGCTTTGTAAAGTCTTTGAAGCTCAGACTCGTCTGTATCGTCTCGCTGGTGATCCCCGTGTTGGTGTTGGAGGTCAGGTTGGGTGGGGCGCATTCTTTCTCCTCCACGCTGATGTTCACCTCGCTGGTTCCTGCGCAAGGCAGGGCTATTTTAGGGCTATTTTGGGCCTTTATAGAGCCATAGAGGTGCCCTAGGAGGTCCTGAGCCTTGCGCTTGATAGGTGATCGTGACTTTCGACAGAGTGCCAGAAGCAAAGACATCAGAGATGAGATCGCCTTGGCAGAGACTGGCTTCGCACCTAACCCGCCAGGTCCATGTTCAGAAGTGCTGCAGCCCTCAAACCAGAAACCCCAAACTCTGAAGAGTCATTCCAAAACTCTCCCAGCTCCGAGGCGCCGCTGTAGGAGAAGGTGCCCTGCACGACACCCTCAAACGCCATGTAGGGCATGGATGCGTTTTGGAAGTCGCCTGCGAGACATCCAAGGATCCTGGTAGGACATGAAGTCGAACCCCCATCAAGGATGATTCCCTTCATCCGAGATGTCAATTACAGGGAGAGCCAAGGGAACTTCATCCCCCATTTAAAGCATTTTCAACTTCCTAGCATTGGCCTCCAGGCTGTACGAGGCGGAATTAGGCGGAAGTCACCCTAACACCCAGCTTCCATGAGAGTTTTACAGAACTCCCCCGGGTTTTCCCGGCCATGGCCTTGTCCTGGGCTCTGAAGAACCCAATCGCCACCAGCGCCTTGCCTCTGGTTTCGGGGCTTTCGATGGGTTTCCCAGGATTCTCGAGTCGAGACGAGAGCTGTCTCGAAGCCAACAGGTCGCCAAAACCAGAAAAGGAAAGCTGCTGGTGCAGCCAAAAGGTTTCCTTGCTGGTGAGTCCCTCTTTCAGGTAGACCAAGCCACCTGCGAGGGGTTCTAGGGCTTTGGGGACTTGTCCTGGCAAAGAGAGCTGTACCAGTAGCACAGTGTACCTGGCCTGGGTATGCGTTCTCACCGAAGTAGCAGTAGCTTCCAGACAAGTAGTGCCGGCTCACAGTCAGACTGACGCAGTCGCTCCTGCACTGGATAGCAAAAAACGGAACGACTCGCAAAACCTTGAACCTTAAACCCTGAACACGCAGGGGAAGATCTCAAGCGGGCGCATCTTGTCCCAAATGCAACCTTTTCGATGCAATTCGATGATCTCACTTCCAAGCACCGTTAAGTTCGCAAAAGGGGTTCGCACCCAAGCTCTCAACTGTAGTAGAGAGAGAGAGACAAGCATAATGGCGACTCAAAGAAAATAGGGAAGCAACTGGCATCGATTGGCTGGGCATCCTATACTTTAAACTTTCTCTGGTATAGGGGCTCTTGAACATCCACCTTGAATGTGCTTCATGACAATTTCTTTATAGAGTGGATCACTGTGGTCAAGCTAGGCTCAAAGAAACGCACTTGAACACAAGGCGGAAAAAGATCCAATCCCCGGGTCCTGTCCGCGCAATTGGCGACACGGGCAAAGCCTATTGTGACCTCAAAGGCGCTCAGCAGAAAAGTGGGCATCTCTAATGAATGGTCTCATGCGAGCGAGTTGTCGACATCCATTCTTCTGATTGATGTCTGCAAAAACCAAGCAAGCTATGTGATGTTCCATCACCTGCAACGTCTCCCGCAGCCAGCGCTCTGATCGCAGGCAAAGCATATATATATATATATATTGCAGATTAATCGCTTCCCCCTAATACTAAGCAGACTAAGCCCCGCCCTAATTCTAAATATTGTTTTTCCAGGGCCCTCCCGGCACCCAGCCCAATACTAAACCTGTTTGAGAATTTGGGGGGGGGGGGGGGTTTGCTGGCCTCCGCCCTTGAGTTGAGCCATTATAGGGTTTTCAATTAGGGTTCAGGGCTTAAGGCTCGGAGGGTTTTCAGGGTTTCGGGCTCAAGGCTCAGAGGGTTTAATTCGGGTTTAGGGATTAAGGCTAAACCCTAACTGAAGGCAGGCCCCAAACTCCAAACCCTATACTCCCTCCTTCTCCTTCCAGGCTTCGGATTTCAGATTTTGACTATTTTTCAGGCCGAGGCGAATTTTAGAATTGCGGGGGGGAGGGGGGGGGGGGCGGATTTAGTATTAGGAAAAGGGAATTATTCCGGTTTGCGGTGTTCATTGTAGGCAAAGGCACCAGTTGAACAATTGCGAGATGTGCTGTCTGCGAGGCTTTCAGTATCTTTCAGTCGTACTAGACGAGACAGTCATGTGTAGGTTGCCTTCTGTAAGCTGCTGGGAAAGGCTTGATAGGCCGACCTGATCGATGCTTGCTTTCTCCTGATGTCCATGCTTCTGGACTGTCCTCAAGATGCATATTATGTCCCTGAATATGTTGAGCTAGCCTAAGCAAGAAATTTTTGTTTTGGCTTCTTGATCTTCGTCGGTATATATTCGCTATCGAGGCACGGCTTGCGCGTGCGTGGCGCGCGTGGAGCGCGTGGCGCGCGTGGCGCGCGTGGCGCGCGTGCGTGCGTGGCGTGCGTGCGTGGCGCGAGTGCGTGGCGCGCGTGCGTGGCGCGCGTGCGTGGCGCGCGCGTGGCGCGCGCGGCGCGGCGCGGCGTGGCGTGGCGTGCGGGGCGCGTGGGGCACGTGCGTGGCGTGGGGGCGTGCGCTGGTTGGCGTGTGGGCGTGTGTCGGCGTGTGTGGGCGTGTGTGGGCGTGCGTGGTGGTGTGGGCGTGTGTGGGCGTGGGGCTTGTGGGCGTGTGTGGGTGGGCGTGGGGCGTGGGGGGCGTGTGTGGGCGTGTGGGAGGGGTGGTGTGGGGTGTGTGGGTGGAGAGTGGTGTGTGGGTGTGTGGGGTGTTGGTGGTGTGGTGTGTGTGGGGTGTGTGGTGTGTGTGGTGTGGTGTGTGTGGGTGTGTGTGTGTGTGTGTGTGTGTGTGTGTGTGGGTGTGTGTGTGTGTGTGTGTGTGGTGTGTGTGTGTGCGTGGTGTGTGTGTGTGTGGGGGGTGTGTGTGTGTGTGTGTGTGTGTGTGTGTGTGTGTCGTGTGGTGTGTGTGTGTGTGGTGTGTGTGTGTCTCTGTGGGTCTCTGCGTCTGTGTCTGTGTCTGTGTCTCTCTGTGTGTGTGGGCGGGTGGGTGGGTGTGGGTGGGTGGTGTGTTGTGTGTGTGTGTGTGTGTGTGTGTGTGTGTGTCTCTGTGTGTGTGTGTGAGTGTGAGTGTGAGTGTGTGAGTGTGAGTGTGAGTGTGAGTGTGAGTGTGTGAGTGTGTGAGTGTGTGAGTGTGAGTGTGAGAGTGTGAGTGTGAGAGTGTGAGTGTGAGAGTGTGAGAGTGTGAGAGTGTGAGAGTGTGAGAGTGTGAGAGTGTGAGAGTGTGAGAGTGTGAGAGAGTGAGAGAGTGAGAGAGTGAGAGAGTGAGAGAGTGAGAGAGTGAGAGAGTGAGAGTGAGAGTGAGAGTGAGAGTGAGAGTGAGAGTGAGAGTGAGAGTGAGAGTGAGAGTGAGAGTGAGAGTGAGAGTGAGAGTGAGTGAGAGTGTGTGTGTGTGTGTGTGTGTGTTTGTGTGTGTGTGTTGGTGTGGGTGGGCGTGCGCGCGGTGTGCTCTCTCTGGTTCAGAACTTGGTATCGTGCTGCTGCCCTTTGCTTCCTAACCGTGTTGCGCTGGTTTGTGGCAAGCAATGAGCCTGCATGCAATCATGCACTGTCTCCGACGTCGTTCATGGCAAAGCTGCTGTAAGGGCAACAACATAAAAATGGGTGCTGCGTCAAACCTGTTCTTTCTCATCAGCGATTCACTGAAAGGCTGTCCGCCAAGATGCCACCGTGCATCCATCGGCGACAGGAGAGCACCGCTGCAACCATTGAACACAAATCGTGTCCCTTGGCTGTGTTCCTAAACGTCAAAAAACACCAAACCTGAAACCTCAACAAACCCATAACCCCCAACCCCTAAGAAGAAAGCCCCCTGGACCCTAACCCAAAACTCCTGAACCCTTAAAAACCCTACATTCCCCTAAACCCTAAACCTCAATATCCCTGCATTTACCCGAGCCGCGCAAGCTTGCTTCAAAAGCACACATGAATCTTTGTCGACTCCCTCATCCTAGCTTTGTGTTTGCAAACGCCGTCCCCAACGCCGAAAACACCCCCCCCCGCACCCCCCCCACCCCCCCACCCCCTCCGCACCCACGCGCTCCCCGTGCGCAGCGGGGCCTTGCCCTGCCACGCCCTCTCCCAGCAAAATGTTTCCCGAGTTTTCGGGAAAATCCATGAAAAGAAAGAGCCCCCCCCCCCCCCCCCCCCACCCCCAGCTCGCCCCCCTTTGTGTGTTGTGTTTGCAAATGGGCGGGCGGACCCCCCCGGCTTTTCTTCCCGCGATAGTCCCTGATCCCTTTCAGATAGGTCCTACCCTAAGCCCTAAACCCGAAAAACCCTAAACCCTAAGCCCTGAAACCTAACAACCCGTGAGCCCTTAACCAAACTAGACACCGACTATCCCGAATTAACACGTCTAGTTGGTTATATTGTCAGTGCGGTGATCGTGGTGTGATGTAGTAGGCTAGGAGCAGGTGTGGTGTCGACGACAGAGAGAGCGCGAAACGCAACGAAGATGGAATTTAGCAGGCAGCGTAGAGAAAGCGGTAGCTGAGGCGATAATGCGGCGATGGTAACGTTGCGACGGCAGTGCGGTGATAGTATGTTCTTTTCTCTGGCAAGTCCCCACGATTCAGGGCATCCATGCTCCACCTGCAGCCAGATGTGTCACGCTTACGTTCGCAGAAGCAGACAGTCACGGAACACGCGCGGCATGGCGACCAACCACAAGCGGCACAGCAGCGCAAGCCTAACGCACCAGAGAGATCTTGTCTGGAATGTGCACCTCGGGGGTTTGAGCGTGAGGGTTGGCTCATGCACGGGTTCAAGCTGAGGGATTGCAAAGTTTAGCGTAAGCAAGTTGCTGCAGCATGGCTGCCAAGCTGAGCACCGTGCGGGATGAGCGCGCGCCTGCCAGTCATGCAAGTTGGACGTGTGTAGCAACACATGTCTCAATGTGAAACTCAGCGTGATGAATTAAGCGAAAGGCCACGGTCACTTTTCTGTCCACTTGACTGCAGGAGGTAGGAGCATCGTGCCGGCGGCGAAGGTGGACATTCACAGAGAACGCGTCAATCCGCACAACAGCCCGGGTCTGAGCTATGTGCTGTAGATGTCTTCTTGGAAGCAGAAGATGCAGACGGCCTGCTGCGTCCACTCCTGGAACGGGATCTGCTGCGGGCTTGCTCGGACGGCGTCTTCCACACACTGCGCAGTCTGCCCTGTTAGTGCGAGTACTAAAAGAGAACTAACTTCCAGAATACCCGTAACAACTGGGCTGGTACTACCTTCGTGTCTTGTTCATGATTCCAAGTTGTTTTAATACTAGCCCGTCTCGTTCACTGCGGCGCGTGCGTCGTTCACAAGTTCACTTCTTACCACCTTCA